ATGGTGGTGGTGACGGCGGCGACGACGACGATAGCGATGGTGGTGGTAGTGGTTGTGGCGGCGGCGGTAGCAATGGTAATGGTGGTAATGGCAGCGATAGTGGTAGCAGTAGCATGATGGTGGTGTTTGTGGAGGTAGTAGTGGTGGTGGGTTTATAATAGTATATATTAATGCTTATGTAAAATAGTTATAAATTTAATTAGAATTAAGTAAGTTTCATATAATTTCAAATTTTTTTTTTAAAGTTTTAGCATTTATTTTAAGAGACTTTAATTTTTAAGTGATATCAAATATAACTATCAAACGAGTTTGATTGATTATCACTTAATATATTTAATTTTAAGTGCTGAATGAGGTTACCAAATGAGATAATTGTTGAAAAGTCCAAACTAATGAGGGTATAAGGCATTAGGTTCAATGGATATTTTTGTTGGTGAGAGGTCCACTCTTTGTGAAATAGTTTGGTGGGAAGGTATTTTGTTTGTTTTGAAGAACATTTTGTTTCCAATTTTACCCATTAATTTATCTGTTGACTTTCATTGACTATTTGTTCAAATTGTTTTCTTATTTGTTCAAAACTTTTTTCCTATCTGTTCAAATTTATATCAATCTATTTAAATTTTTTCCATCTGTCCAAAATATTTGTGTAAATTTTCTCTCTGTCCAAATTTTTTATGTGTAAATTTTCTATCTATTCAAATGTTCTTATATGTTCAATTTTTTTCTTGAAATTCTTTTATATGTTCAATTTTTTTCTTGAAATTCTTTTATATGTTCAATTTTTTTCTTGAAATTCTTTTATATGTTCAATTTTTTTCTTGAAATTCTTTTATATGTTCAATTTTTTTCTTGAAATTCTTTTATATGTTCAATTTTTTTCTTGAAATTCTTTTATATGTTCAATTTTTTTCTTGAAATTCTTTTATATGTTCAATTTTTTTCTTGAAATTCTTTTATATGTTCAATTTTTTTCTTGAAATTCTTTTATATGTTCAATTTTTTTCTTGAAATTCTTTTATATGTTCAATTTTTTTCTTGAAATTCTTTTATATGTTCAATTTTTTTCTTGAAATTCTTTTATATGTTCAATTTTTTTCTTGAAATTCTTTTATATGTTCAATTTTTTTCTTGAAATTCTTTTATATGTTCAATTTTTTTCTTGAAATTCTTTTATATGTTCAATTTTTTTCTTGAAATTCTTTTATATGTTCAATTTTTTTCTTGAAATTCTTTTATATGTTCAATTTTTTTCTTGAAATTCTTTTATATGTTCAATTTTTTTCTTGAAATTCTTTTATATGTTCAATTTTTTTCTTGAAATTCTTTTATATGTTCAATTTTTTTCTTGAAATTCTTTTATATGTTCAATTTTTTTCTTGAAATTCTTTTATAATTTTACGTTGTGTCATTGTTTCTTGTTGTTTCGCCTCTTGTTTTACTTCAATTCGTTTCTTCATGCTTGTAAATCTGAATTTTGGGTTGTGTTCATGGTTTGGTTGCAAAGTTTGTGGAAATTCAGGTGAATTAGGGTTCACTGATGTACTGGCTTGTCATTTATAAAGAAAAAAAAATTCAAGGAAAGCGGAGAGGGAGGAATCCATTTTTTGGGGCTAAAAATTCATCATTTTGTTGTTTGTGTTTCATTATGTTTAAGGTTTTGTTGGAAAGTTTGTGGAAATTCAGGTGAATTAGGGTTCGCTGACGTACTGGTTTGGCATTTTTTTTCTGGGTTCTAGACAATGAGAGAGGAAAAGAGAAGGAACTGGTCAAGGGAGAAAGTGATTTTTTGGTGCTTATTTTAGCATTTTCTTGTGTTGTGTTTCATTCTTTCCATGAGCCAGACAGTGAAAAATTGAGTCTTTTGCCATTTAGTGTCATTCGTTTTGGACAATAAGTAGTTCGATGCATTTTTTTTTCCGGGTTCTAGACAGTGAGAGAGGAAAGAGAAGGAACTGGTCTAGGGAAAAGTAGTGTTTTTGGGCTTATTTTAGCATTTTCTTGTGTTGTGTTTCATTCTTTCCATGAGCCAGACAGTGAAAAATTGAGTCTTTTGCCACTTGGTGTCATTTGCTTTGGACAATAAGTAGTTCTGAAGTATTTTCTAGGACTTCTGTACTCAATTTTAACTTCCCAATTCCCTCGAGGTGAAGATTGGGGACTAATTACTCTTCAGCTTTCTTTAGTGAGTTTTTATTTTTTTTCTCATGGGAGTTGGGAATATTTTCTCTTTTATTTTCTTGGGGAAAACATGAACTTGAACAAATTTCTGCTTGGAAATTTGATTTAAATGGAAGTCTGAGGTTAAGAATTTTATTTTTAAGGTATGAAGTTGAATTTCTTTCCCTGTTTGGTAAGAGAAGAATAGTAGGAAAGTAGGTTTAGGTTGAGGTTGAGGTTGAGGCCTGCCAAATAATAATGTTTAGGATATTTGAATGGAATAGGGTTTTTGATAGTTTTGTCTAAAATTAAGGCCCGACATTCGCGAAGTTCCAATTAAGAATCATTAAAAAGAGTAGTGGTTCTTTCTCATGAATTCTGCTGAATTAAGCATTAATGTAGTAATACAGGTGTAGAACGTGTGGTGGCATTGCTCATAATGACACCGCCTTGTCATCCTCTTCAATATACTTAATATATATATGTATATGTATTTATATAAAGAAACAACCTTTACTTTTTTTTTTCTCTTCATTTTGGAAAAAAAAACCATAATGTTTTGAAGTATCTGAAGCTGTTTTCTAGCTAAAAGTCTAATTGGAAATCAAAATTTAAAGTTAACAATATCTGAACTTGCAAGTATTAATTCCCCCAAATTACCAAAGCATCTTTAGTGGACTGCTCCTTCTAGGTCATGTAAAATAACATTAGTGGATTCCCTGACAAAATTGGGTAAAAGAAAAAAACAGAAAAAAATCATTTCTCCTTTTCTACCTTTTGGAAACATCATAATTCAACAAAAAAATTTTTAGACTAAGCGCATTTGTTTCTCTTAATTATGGTACTTAATAATGGATAGCCAAATACCACAAACGCCACTGTTTTCCTTAGCTGCTGTGTGTTCTTGCATATGCTGGAATTGCATGACAACCACACTGAAACCAGAGAGATCCATTGATGCAAGGAACATCTTGTCATTTTATCATTACTTGTCTTATGATTTTGATAGGTTTTGATAAACAACCACTTTCAGTGATAAGATTTAAATTGAGCTGATTGCCTGCTTGCACTTAGTCTTACATTAAGTTATTGAATTCTATGACTTCCAACTGATTGTGTCTTGATCTTTGGGTAATTCATGATCAACCGGAAGTCAAAAGTTTGATCAGGAGGGCAGATCTTGAGTGTAAAAAAGGAATTATGAATTTGCATGATGTAAATGGAGAAAAAAAAAAAGAAGAAGACACAGGAGATCAACCAATTGAGTTTCCACAATGTTTGATTGATAAAAGTTGCTCGTCTATTCTATTCTATAGCAATTTCAGTGTTGAATTGCTACATGCATATGTCCATAACAAAATTGGGAGTTGAGACGACCATTTTTGCATTAGTCACGAAGTTGCTAATGTGTTTAGTCATAAAAGGTAGATTTAGGCCTCGTTTGGCAAGTGGTGATTTTAGTCTAAAAGTCACTAAAAAAAAAAAGAAAAGCCAACAACTTATACCAAAAAGTCAAAGATTCTATTTTTTCTCTACTTTTTGCACATCTTTTCGTAAAAATCAAAAAGTCATTCCAAACATAATATTTTTTTTTTACATCATATTTTAACAAAAAAGTTAAAAAGTTACTAAAAAAGTTTGTTCCCAAATGAGGCCTTCGTTCATACTGGAAGTGCTAAAAGGATAAGGGTGAAATAAAAAAGGATATGAGTGCAAATAAAATTGAGATAACTAATGAATTGTGGTTAAATTGATGATATCACTGGAACATTATATTTATTAAAAAAAATAAATAAAAATTTACTGGAACATTTTGAATAATTGAAAAAAAACTGTAATATGCTCATGAGATGTCTTTGTAATTCGTTGTCAAACGGTGATGTGCAACTGGAACTTGCAATGGACTAATTGAATAAAAACATCATCTATGTCTTCTATATTGGCGGAGCAGGAAATTTGTTGATGTATCACCTCCTCACCCCCTGATGGACTCCTAAGTGAGCTGCTCATTCTCATCAGAAATTGGTACTAAGTACTGGTATTTAAGAATCAGTTTAAAATTTTTGAAGCCCAATCAGCACCACAGCTCTCCCTCCTATCAAGGGTTCAAATATGCAGGGAATACTTTTTCATTGCCCATGGTTGGTAGTGGCTCTGGTGAAGTGCTACATCTAACCTTCTTTGTAAGGTGCTGTGTTTCATGTTTCATGTGTGATTATTAAGGGCCGGAAATTGTTCCAAGTAGGGTGTGACAATGCTGGCCAATTATATTGCTTGAAATGCCCTTGAACTCCTTTAAGACTTTGATTTTTGACATTACTGTTTGCATGCTGTATCCAGGGTTTGAGTTTGGAAAGAAAAAATGGTACTTTAGTTTTTGTAAATATTGCAAAATATGTGTGAGAAAGTGGCTTTAGACATAGGAAACTGGCCTTTGCAGTGGAGAGCCAACATCTTTTTATATAAACGTGAGAAAATCAAAATGTTGATTTGTGATATCATATTCATTTTACTCAAGTAGGAACTCTTTTATGTGTACACTGCAATTATGGACCACAAGACTTCTATTATTTAATTTCGGGAGTAAGGATAACAGAAATGAATTCTAGAGGATTAATGCGATACAAACATAATTTTTATGCAGATTTTTCATAAATAATGATGTGGCTGTTTATGGTCCTTTTTATCTTAAATCAAAACATCCATCATTGTAGCTTATAATTTTAAAAATACCACTGCCACATTATTCTGGATAGGTTTTCGGTACAAAAGTTCTATCTTTGGATCATTTTCCATTCTTGAGTGGCCGATATAATTTTCAAAACCCTTCTATTGACATGCAGCAAGCTGCAACATGTCTTTCTGAGTTGGATCAATCACCGACAAAGTCAATATTAAAGTCCATGCAGCCTTTTCTGAATGGGATCGCTAAACCAGGACTTCTAAAGCATCAAGATAGGGAAGTTGCGCTTCTTGTTGCTACCTGTTTTTGTGAGATAACTCGGATTACTGCACCTGAAGCTCCTTACAGCGATGATGTTTTAAAGGTACTAGTTCTTAAAAATCAAATAATAAATGGAGTTGGTGCATGCAGTCTGTGTATAATCATCTACTTTTTTGCTTGTTAATCCCTGTGATTTCTGTATGATCTACAGGACATTTTTCATTTAATAGTCAGCACCTTTAGTGGTTTAAATGATACCAGTGGTCCATCTTTTGGAAGGAGAGTTGGCATATTGGAGACTCTTGCAAGATATAGATCATGCATTGTGATGTTGGATCTTGAATGCGATGATCTAGTCAACCAAATGTTCAGTACATTTTTTTCTGTTGCCAGGTTTGTGTTATATAGTTGTGTTGAAGAAAAATGCTACCCTTAAAATTTGTATAAATTTATTTACCAGCTGATGTGGCACCCTTATTGCATTGGCCACATCAGCTTGTGTTTTAAAAAGAAGGCATTTAATAACTTGCCATAACAGTTTTTTGTGGTGTGCATAGTATTTTTTAAGCCGGTAATACTGCCTTATCCCTTTTTGTTTTCTTTTTGGTCAGATGTTGCTTATTTCAATTTATCAATTACTTATTTATTTGTTGGTGTAATTTTTTAATAATTTATTTGATTTTTTTCATATTTGTGTCAGTGGGATATGCAATTTCTTCTCATTCCTTGTATTTGATTGGAACATTACTTGCTCAAAAACAAATTGTTTTGGTTGCTTGCCTTCAATGCTTCTGAAAATCATTCACTCTGTTTGATTTCCATTTTTAGAATTCACTTTTCAGAAAATTCTAGGCGTTGTTTGGAAGGATTTTCAAATCACAATTCTACCCACACATTCTAATATCATGTTTGGATAGAGTTTTCCAACTATATTTCCGCAACAAACACAAAATTCTGTGTAAAGTGCGATTTTCGAATTTTTTTTTTTGAAATTTGGCCTAACCGGTCGTACCACCGGATGTCCAGCCGGTTGACCGGAACAGTGCATATATATATATTTTTTTTTGCAATTGACATATGTTAATTTTTATATATTCGAAAAAAATATATTTCGAATTTTTTAAAATTAATAGAATTTTGAGTTGTATGTTTGGTTATGAGTTGTAAGTTTTTGTATCAAATATCATATGTCACATCAAAAATTTCCCTTTCAAGTTAAAACTCTTTTCAAAACTCTCTTACCAAACAAAGTTTTCACACTCAAATCATAATTCCAAAACTCACAAAGTCAAAATACAACTTCTACTCTCAAATCATATTTAGAAAGCTCTACCAAACGCAACCCTATTTTTTCGTTTTTCGTATTTTTTTTTGTTTTCATTGAGTTTTTTTAATTTTTTAAGCATTTTTTTATAAAAATTTTAAGACACACCTAACATAAATACACTTAAAAAGTATAATATTTGCGAAAAAATCTTTAAAAAATTCGCTAAATACTAAAAATGCAAAAATAAATAAATAAATAAATAAAACGAAAATTTAGTACATTATTCATATTTTTGTGTATTTATTAATTTTTTAAAATATTTTTTCACAAATATTTTACTATTTAGATACATCTAAGTAAGATGCATCTAAAAAAGTAAAAAATTGCTTAAAATTTTAAAAATATTCACTAAAAACAAAAAAATCACGAAAAACAAAAAACTCAATTTCTAGCAAATTGAATTCAAAAAATTGAAACCAAACTCATTTTTTCCTAAATTTCTGAAAAGTCTAATATTAAATTGGTTGCGTCAATTCTCACATATGAAGCCATCGAAACCCTATAGTTTTTTATTTATTTATTTATTATTTATTAAATACAAAGAATAACATTTGTTGTAAATTTCTGTGTAGTGGTTTATTTTGCTGAATAACATTATGAAATATCCATATGAGCTACACGTGATTACCAGTGTTATTGCAATGTGTGGTAGATAGGGCATGACTGCACCAATAAGAGGAAAGAAACAGTATAAGACAAAGAAATTGGTCTAAATTTCACTTCTTAGTCATTAATTGATTCATTAATGTTATCAACAGCTCTGATGCATGGACTGTTTAAGGACGTATCATAATTCATTCTCAATCTGAATTTGGCTTGATTGTGGTTCGTTCTTAAATTTGATTTAGTCTATCAGTTCAAAAATTGAATCTGATGATGCGATCTGATTGTGGTCAACTAACACCATACCGTATACAGATTCATTTTGATTGAGATTGGAATCTTGTATAACTCAGTCGAAGTGAGAAATTTTGAATGTCATGTATATTTGCACTAGAATTGATAAAATATATTGCTATTATTAACCGACCTGACTCGTAATATCCTGATTTCAATTTGGATCAAATTTGCATTTCTAAATAATGTGTAAAAATAAATTGATGTATATTATTGATTGATTGATATCTTTTAGATATAGGATACCTATGTAGAAGTTTTCTCAACTGAAGCATAGATGATGGGAAGTCATGGTTCTTTGGGATCCAGAGATTCGATTTAAGCTTGGATTGTTGTATGCCCAATTGAATAAAACTTGGAGCTTAACCATGCTCAAATTATTGATTGCACTCCTATGGTTCTCAATATCCCGGTGAAGGATTTTAGCAATTAGGATTAATGGCAGTTTTCCTGATTTAATTAAATACTAGAAGTTATTACATTCAATCTCTTAATTAAATACGAAAAGGTAACGCATTCAATTCATTGGCGTCAAGCTCTGTTGTACCAAAACATGTGGCAATTATGCAGGAAACATGTCGGGAAAAGAAATATTTTAGAGATTGAAATCCGGATAGGTTCTCTCTTTATAGAATGGTATATGGATAGCCACTTTGTTCCTTCATAGTGCTGTTATAGGTAATCAGTATCCACATTGAATAGTTTTTCTAGTGGGTTTTTAGTTGGACATCTAGAATGATGATTCTGCATTTAACTTTATTATGTCATGTTGTGCCGTCTAGAATGGATTGGGTGTTTTACATCAAGAATTTGTTGGTGAATATGTTTTTGCTATTACTTTTTCTGCCAATTTGGTAACTTGTAAGTTTGTAACTTCCACAATGCAGTGAAGATCATTCAGAAAGCGTGCTAACATCAATGCAAACAATCATGATTGTTCTCTTAGAAGAGAGTGAGGATGTACGGGAGGATCTTTTACTTGTTTTATTGTCTGTTTTAGGCCGGAATAAAAGTGTAAGCCCTACTTCTGCATGTGTATTTGCACTTTTTCATGTTATTGTTTGTCAAGATTCTGTTGGCTGCTGATGTACTTTGCTTCCATTCTCGTAAGTTTATTTAAATACAACTTGAAGAATTGTGTTTCTGCAATTTTTCATTCTAGAATTTTACAATCTCTGCGCGGAGGCTTGCTATGAATGTTATAGAGCATTGTGCTGAAAAACTGGAGCCTGGCGTGAAGCAGTTCCTTATATCATCAATGTCAGGGGATAATGGGCCTTTAAAGTTTCAAATTGATTACCATGAAATAATCTATGACATCTATCGTTGTGCTCCTCAGATCTTATCAGGAATTGTCCCATACCTAACAGGATTGCTACTGGTAATCGCATAATTAGTTGCTTACTTTTCTAGTATCTTCTCTAAGCATGGCATATGTTATCCTATTACTTCTACAATTTTCCTTTTTGTTCATCTTGATATGATATGAAAATTATGTCATGAATGGCCATATTATATTTTACAAACCTTCCAAATTATATTTTACACTTGCTTCCGTAACATCACTGCTGAAGTCGGATTTTACTTACGTATTCTCCAATAAGTTCATGATAAAGTCAATGCTATTTCAGTATAAGTTTTAAAATTGTTGAATTGTGGCAATCAATTATTTAATTTTTGTGTTTCAACATTTACAGACAGATCAATTAGACATCCGTTTAAAAGCTGTTAGTCTAGTTGGTGACCTTTTTGCTCTGCCGGGATCTGCTATCTCTGAAACATTTCAACCTATATTTTCGGAGTTTTTGAAAAGGTTGACTGATAGAGTAGTTGAGGTTCGAATGTCTGCCATTGAACATGCCAAGAGTTGTCTTGTGTCAAATCCTTTCAGATCTGAAGCTCCGCAAATTATCTGTAAGGGTTCTTGGTTTTGTTGTCAAGTAATTTACACGTATATTAAATCTTTTATTTTTGACATGGATGGCCATTTTCTAGCTGCTTTCTGTGACCGGCTGCTGGACAACGATGAAAATGTTCGTAAACAAGTGGTTGCTGTAATTTGTGATGTGGCATGTCATGCCCTGCCTTCCATTCCAGTTGAAACTTTGAAGCTTGTCGCAGAGTGCCTCCGAGACAAATCTGTACATTCAATCTTTTCCCTTTGTCCTTGTATATTTTTTTAGACTATTCATTGATTGTTTTACCTAATATTCTATTTATTATCTTGACATATGTCCAGCTACTTGTTAAAAAATATACCATGGAGAGGCTGGTTGAGATTTACAGGATTTTTTGCTTGAGCCGCTCCAATGGCGCAACTGAAACTGATGATTTTGATTGGATTCCTGGAAAGATATTGAGATGCTTCTATGACAAAGATTTCAGGTATATTATTTTTCTTTGCTGGTTGTAGAGGGCAATTTTTTATTTTTACTTTTTATTTAGCTTTCATTGAGAAACATGGATGAATCTGACTTGTTCATGTATGAATCTGATAATCTTCCTGCTACATTAGGCCTCGTTTGGGAATGGGCTTTTTTAGTAACTTTTTGACTTTTTGGCTAAATAATGATGTAAAAAAACTAGTATGTTTGGAATGATTTTTTGGTTTTTTACGAAAAGATGTGCAAAAAGTAGAGAAAAAAGGGAATCTTTGACTTTTTGATAGAGGTTATTGGCCTTTTGGTTTTTTTAGTGACTTTTTGGCTTTTTGACTAAAAACTCACTTGTCAAACGAGGCCAAGCAAGGCTGGAGATATTTATTTATTTCTTTATTTATTTATTTTTGTTAAGTATGCTTTTGCTAAGGAGGCATAAAAAAGCTAATAGGTGTGCCAAAAAGCTACATCATCTTATAAGAAGTATCTGCCAAAATGGGGTCATTTGCCAAGTCAAGATGACAAACTCCTAGTTAAATTGGATCTTCTTGAGAAACTACTAAATATGAAGCAAGTGAAAATGTTAGAATTGATTTCTTGAATAATATGATTGAACACTTTGATCTGCATGAAACACTTTGATCTGTTCTGCAGATCAGATACAATTGAACCCATCTTATGCGGGTCCCTGTTCCCAGCTGAATTCTCAGTCAAGGAAAGGGTTGGAAATTGGATAAGAGTCTTCTCAGGATTTGACAAAATTGAGGTTAAGGCTCTTGAAAAGATACTGGAGCAGAAGCAAAGGTTCGTATGATGGCTTGGTTTTGGCATCAAGGTTTTCAATATGGTTTTTATAGACCATCCTTTGTTTTTAAGTTTATGTATTTGATATTTAGTTCTGCTGATTTTCAGGGGATTTTCTCTTGGATTGCAGGTTACAACAAGAGATGCAGAGGTATCTTTCTCTTAGGCAGAGTCATCAGGTTTGCAATTTGTGTGTGTTGAATTGCTTATCCCAGGAAAGAAGACAAAGGAACTGCTAATGCTAAAATTCCATTTCATCGAAATGCAGGAACACGACACTCCTGAGTTACAAAAAAAGATACTGTTTTGCTTCCGGATTATGTCTCACTGTTTTAATGATCCTGCAAAGGCTGAGGAGAGTTTTCAAATTCTTGACCAGTTAAAAGACGCTAATATCTGGAAGAGCTTGACAACTCTACTTGATCCAGACACTAGCTGTCTTCAAGCTTGTAGTTGTCGGGTAAGCATATAAAACTGAATACAAGTAAATTCCACCTTTCGTTTTCACAGGCACTAAATTCCTTTTGCAGGATGATTTTCTTAAGATCCTTGGCGAGAAACATCAACTCTATGATTTTTTGAGCATGGTCTCTCTGAAATGCTCATATTTACTTTTCAATAAGGAGCATGTGAAGGAAATCCTTTTGGAGGCTGACTTACAGAAATCTGCTGGACATGCACAATTTACCCTAGCTTGCATGAATATTCTTGTGGTAAAGCATTCCATTCCTCTAGAGGAGATATTAAAGTGGTTGATTGTTCTATAGACATTGTGTATTCTTTTTCTGGTTTGTAGGATTTCATCAGTTTTGTTGAGCCGTATCATGGTACATGATATGCAAGGATTTTGTGAATCACAAATCCACTCATGCCTGCAGATACAGGCATGGATAGGATGCATGAAATGATATACGGGTCAAGACAAATTTTTAGGAACAATCGACTATAAGAACACTGAATAGATAGCCTATCATGCCCATTTGCAAACTAAAACTACGACAGATTGCAATATGTTTGCAAATGATGCTTTTACAGTTGGCACTGTATCAGTTATATCCATTCAGTTGCTATGTGTACACTAAAAACTGTAGTCACCTCATAATTCTACATTTTTATATCTATTATTGGGATTCTGTTTGGTTTGTGTAGAGTTTTCCATTGACTTCTGTGTCTTAAACATGTTGCAACCACAAAACTATACAAACAAAAAGATGAAAAGAGAAACATGTTAGATTTTGTTTTTTAATATTTGCTTATGATGAATTGCAGATTCTTGCAAGTTTCAGCCCTTTGCTTCTTAGTGGGATTGAAGAAGATTTGGTGCATCTTCTTAAAGATGATAATGAAGTAATTAAAGAAGGTGTTTTGCATGTTCTGGCAAAGGCTGGTGGAACCATTCGAGAGCAACTGGGAATTTCATCCAGGTGCAACTATTGAAACTGTTGATTTCTATTATTCAAATTCCTGTGTATATGCGCTTGTTAGTCATTCTATCTTTACTTACAGTTCACTAGACCTTATACTGGAAAGGATATGTTTAGAGGGCAGTCGAAGGCAGGCCAAGTATGCTGTACATGCCCTAGCAGCAATAACAAAGGATGATGGTCTAATGTCACTCTCGGTCTTGTATAAGGTTTGCTTTATTATTTGTCACTGGTAGATTTTTCTAATTATGACATGCTCTACTTTGAGGATGATATTTGTAATTGAGAGAACATTTCTTGCACAATATGTAGAGGCTTGTGGATATGCTGGAGGAAAAGACACATCTGCCTGCTGTACTACAATCTTTGGGGTGCATAGCACAGACTGCAATGTCAGTTTTTGAAACAAGAGAGGATGAAATTGAAGGATTTATAAAAAGAAATATTCTAGAGTGCAGTAATGTATGCTTCCAAATCTGCTGGATTTTTGCTTTCTGTGATCTGTTCTTGATGTTATGATGATTAGTTTCCATCTAAAGCATGCTTTTCTATTTCAGAAAGCAGATGATGGACAAAAAGAATGTTGGGATGACCGAAGCGAACGTTGTTCATTGAAGGTCATTTTGTGGGAGTTGTATACATTTTTTGAGTTGAAGATTTCTTTCAAACTGTTGAATATGATACAATTCTGTCTAGCTACTTGTACAGGGAAATTGCTCGATACTGTTATTTTACCATTTTTGTTTGGTTACCAAAAGAACTAAATGAATGAAGACTTTTCTTTCTTTGCTTTTACCACTTAACATCCTTGTGCATTATAATGAACGATACATTTTTTGTGCAGATCTTTGGCATTAAAACATTGGTCAAGAGTTACTTGCCTGTCAAAGATGCTCACCTTCGTCATGGGATTGATGGCCTATTGGAGATCCTTAAAAACATACTTTTGTTTGGAGAAATCTTGAAAGATATTGAATCGAGGTAATGTTGTGGAAGTTTGAATTTATGGCACAGGGATTGTTCCATGCATCAATTTTTCTTAATGTGTTAAATCTCTCTTGTTTCATAAGAGGGTTACAATATACCATGTACGGGCTTCTTTTTTCATCTTGCAGTCCAGTTGATAAGGCTCATATGAGGCTTGCAGCAGCAAAGGCAGTTCTTCGTCTATCAAAGCATTGGGATCATAAGATACCCATTAATCTGTTTTACCTAACCTTGAGAATATCAGAGGTAGAGTTCTTTGTTGAATAAAGCATATATTATACTGTACCTTGATTTATGTATTTATTTATTTTTTGCTGCTTGCTATCCATAAACAATTGATTCTTTCATTCTTATCTTCACTGGAAAATAGTTTGCTAAAGATTTGCCCTACTTGGGTGTACAGATCAGTTTCCCTCAAGCTAAGAAGCAATTCCTGAACAAAGTTCATCAATATCTAAAGGAATGGCTTTTGGATCCAAAATATGTTTGTGCCTTCTTATTTGATATAAACGGATCCCACCAAGCAGATTTTGAAGAGGTTTTTGATGCTACATTGAATCACTTCTTATTAAATGTCCTTCTATTGTAGTAAATAGTTTGCTTGCTGTATTAGTTCAATTTTGTATTTATGTATGTGTTTTTTCTGTCATATTTATATGGTAGGGCAAGCATAACTTACGTGATATTATTCAGACATGTCATCAAGGGAAGGCACAGCAACTTTCATTGCAATGGGATACAAACTCCGCAGTGAATTATCCAGAGTACATACTCCCATACTTGGTTCATGCTCTTGCTCATCATTCTTCATTTCCAAATGTTGATGATTGTAGAGATGTCAAGGCTTTTGAACCAGCATACAGGTATATCTGGTTTCATCTCTTAAAAACGTATGATTGCATGTACACACATATCTAAGAGAAGTGTAAGATCTGATAAACCGTGATATGATCATTCTTTCTTCTGTTCAAAGTAATAAGTAATAACATGCTAGCATGGAAGGTTTGAGTCATTATTATCATCATTGGCAGCACAGCCTTAATTGATGCATGGGATTATATTCCATTGGTAGCACAGCCTCAATTGATGCATGGGTAGCACATCTAGTTTTCTTATAAGAGTTTTGGCTGTGGATGCCATGGTTGCATTATGAGAGAAACTTGGTGCCAAACATAGCTTCTGTCCAAAGTCTAGACTGAATAACTTGCCTTTCTAAGGGTGGTCTTGTGAATTTTTGAAGTGTACTACATATATAGGTTTCCTCCCAATTCTTTCCTGAGCTTTTGAATGATGCCTTAGTCCTGAAAAAGTATCACATAGGTCCACCCTATATGCTACGTGGTATGCCCTTGCAACTCTATTGGTTACATACCCATTATTTCCAATTTTTTCTCCTATGTATTACATAAAGAAACCAATGGAATTGGAAGGGCACACAGCCTAGTTGAAATTCCTAGAAGATAGGATAATTCTTCCTCAGTGCTGAAGTTTTCTTCTTCTTTGTATGTTGGAAAAGATTTATGTGTGTTGTTTTTATTGCTATACCGAACAGAGAACATCAGATTTATTGATGCATTTCCTTATTGTGGAATATTTAGCTTGAGAACACATGGACATCATGCTTGTGATTTATCTAGCATAAGATTGTCATATATGTAGATATTTTATGATTGGACGTGTTTGTTGTGCTTAGATGAGAATGCTTAGATTGATGTGTGGTAAGACTAAGAAAGACAAAATTAGAGATGAATTTATTTGTGAAATGGTAAGAGTAGTAGCAATTGAAGATAAGTTAAGAAAGAACAAGTTCAGTCATGTACGAGGTAGACCTGTAGATGCAGCAATTAGGAATAGTGATATGATCACTGTTAATGGAAATGTTAGGGGGAGGGGAAGACCTAAATTCACATGGGATGTGGTAGCAAAAAAAGATATGAATATGTTTAATTTAATTGAGCTTATAGCCTTCGACAGAGCGGAATGACCAAAAACATTTTATGTAGCGGACCTCACTTGGTTGGGACACAAAGATTAGGCCTCCTTTGGGAACATGTTGTCTTAGTAATTTTTTGGTTTTTTGACTAAAATATGGTGGGGGAAAAAAAAAAAGAAGAGTATGTTTGGAGTGATTTTTTGACTTTTTACGAAAAGATGTGTAAAAAGTAGAGAGAAAAATGAATCTTTAACTTTTTGGTATAGGTTGTTGGCCTTTTGATATTTTTAGTGATTTTTTGACTTTTAGGCTAAAAGATTGAGTTGCCAAACATGGCCTTAGTTTGGTTTGATTTTGCTCGGACGTGTTTGTTGTGGCATTGGTTTCAACCAACCTTGTGATTTTATCTACAAGTTTGTATATTGCCTATTCGAAAGCTCATCTCATATAGTAAGAAAAAAGGAATAAAAAAAAGAAGAAATAAATGTAACTTCTTTCCTTTCTAAGCCAATTTTCGTCTGTTATGTTTACACTATATTCTAAGATATTATAAAATATATGTTATTATATGCTACAAATTAGATGATGCTGACATATATTTGTTCTTTTGCCTAGTGTGTCATTTTTGTTCCTATAGAGCTCAAGTTAGGAGAGGTCTTGGTTCAAGTCTCTCCGTTTGCATTTGTTTGCCCGTTTGAATTATGTTTTTTTTCTCTTACATGTTCGGATGTTTACATCTCCACATGCAAGATGGGGTTGTACATGAGCTAGGGTGTTGGATAGCTTGATATGCATAGTTGGACCCATTTTCTAACCACTTAAGCTTTTGGGACTAGTGGTTCTCTAATAGCATAGATGTTGGACTATCACTGCAGTTCAGATGCTGGTCTTGATAGACAGTCCTAAAGCATAGGATTTCATCCACAGCTTGACATAATACTTGGTTCTGGATAGAGTTTGATATATCAGTTAATAATCTCAGGAATCCTTGTTTTCATTGTAATGTGCCTCATTCAATATTTTTCAGGCAATTGCACTTATTTCTTTCTATGCTCATGCATGGAGATGAAGACTGCAAGCCAGAAGTCAGCATTGACAAGGGCAAAGAGAGTATATCTGCAATAATTTCTATCTTTCAGTGTATTAAGTGCTCAGCAGATACAGTTGACCCAGCAAAGTCCAAGGTAGGGGATAAAATCTGTTGAGGTCATATTCTTTTTTGTAGTCATTTTTTGAATTTTGTCAATCATAATTAGTAAACCACAAACACCCCTCTGAAAAAAGAGCTTATGTTCTGGTTAATTATGCTTGCAGAACTCACATGCAATTTGTGACCTTGGCCTGTCAATCATCAAGCGCTTAGCTCATAAAGAAGACGACCTTCAAGAATCAATTGTATCAGTGTCCCTCCCTCCAGTTCTGTACAAACTGCGTGACAAGAAAGGAGAAGAAGGGAATGACCCTCTGGTATAATACTTGAAACTGTTTTTATTTTTTACTCTATAAAATGGGTTTAATGCCGTGAGTGATTTGGTTTGATGTGATAAATTATAATGTTGTGTTGCAGATATGATGTCTTGATATTACCTTATTGAGTTTTGTAATTATGTGAGACGATCATTTCGCATCAACTAAGGCCAAGTTTGGGAAGACTAAATAAGTGCACTTTTTGACTTTTTTTGTATTGTGTAGAAAAAGTAGAGAGGAGATGTTGATTGATGTGACCCAAAAAAGATAAAAAGATGAAATAAGTGCACTTTTTTAGGTTAGCCAAACTTGGCCTAAGTTTTCCATGGATTGCTTGTTGGGACGAAATTTCTATTTCAATTAAACATCTGTTGCAACATAAAATGTATATTTTAAGTATTTATAAGAATACTTCTTCACCATTCATCTTGGAAGTCAATGTATGCGAATTGTCTCATTCGTACTTCCACAACCTGATTGGAATACAACTCAACAGGGAAGTAAGTAAATAATCCCCTTTACAAAGCCAGGTAACAAATTGCTTGAAATACTTGAGTTGTTAGGGAATGGGCCGAACAATGTATTTCAGCTCTACACAATTACTCTAAGGCCATGTTTGTTTGGGCGGACATGACCTTGGGATTGGATTGATAATCCCACAAAATGCATAACCGATGTTTGGCGAAGAAAATTGGGGTCTGGACTAATAGCCCATTCGGACATAGTATCCCTCATATGGGGGACTATTGAATCCCAAGAGGGGGGTGGGATACAAATTGGAGGACTAAGGAGAAGTTTGGACTAATTAGTTAAATTGCAAAATTGATAGGATTTTGTCAATCCTCTCATAATCCTCGGCCAATCCAAACATGAGATTGGATACATGATTCAAAGGGATTGATAATCCTAGGACTAACAGTCCTAGGCATGCTAATGCCAACTAATCTAGTCCATTTTAACAAACGTGGCCTAAGGGTATTAGTTGTTGAAATGGGTGTAACTTGTTATTTATATCATGAACATTGAACACCATGCATATATTGTAATGCTCAAGTAGGTGGTGAGATTTGAGATCAAGATCTTCCTGCTTTGATACTATTTTAACAACCAAATACTCTAAAGGCTTAAGCTGTGGAGATGGTGTAGTTTAGATGTTTATATCAATAAGACACAGATAGGGCTCAAGTTGACGATTCTCGTGATGATGTTTTTCCATTTTCTCATATTTTGCGAAGAATTACCTGTTTTAGGAAGTCCTAAGACAAGGTTGTCCATCTGCCGTACCTGGTCCATAGGTCATTAGCATTTTGGTCACAGTATTGATTGCTCTGACCATTTGATGTATCAATTATTTGATTCAATATTGACCCAACTGTTGAGATATAAAATCACAGTAGACCATATGTATATATGTGTGTGTGTGTGCTTGTAGAACAAAGAAAATTGCAGAAATTGTTTGGCCACAATGGACAAGTACCAACAATGCACTAGTTCGGAGACGTGACATGGTACATATTAAGGGTGGCTGCTAATTAAAGGGGAAGACCAAAAGTTGATGTGGTACAGCAAGACATGGAAAAATGTAGTTTAAATAAGGTAACAGCCCTCAGTAAGGTAGAATAATGAAAGTGAACATGTTGCTCACATCATACAATTAAGATGGCTTCATTGAGTTGATTGAATATATTGAAACAGCACATATGGTGGAATTGATGGTTTCTTATTGATATGTTCAGGAATATGTACAACCACTTGACTCTTCCATGCCGATTAAAATTGAACGGTTAATCCTCACAGTTGATACATTGTGTATATTTTCATGAGTTCATATGAGATTCTGTTTTATTCAGTCAAAAGTAATCTTTTCGTCTAGATGCTTGTTCCAAGTGGTAAAGATTTGGCCTTCATCTCAAAGTGATTGTTAGTTTTATTATATACTGGTGATTTCAAAATGTCTTGTGGGTTTTTATGTTATTTGGATTTGGATCTTTAGACATTTTATATTGAGTTATTGATGTTATATAAATTAATAATGTTTGTTTTCTCTGCACAGGTCAGTGAAGGACAGACGTGGTTGGCTGATGAGAGCGTCTTGACTCACTTTGAATCACTCAAGTTAGAAGTCAAGGGAACGGTATCTTCTTCTGCTCAATAGCACATTCAGCTACATTGGACATTACTGTAATACTTCTGCATTTTACATCGTTAACTTCTTTCCATTCTTTTGCTTGGATAGCATCAGATTCATCCAGAAGTTGATGATGATGTTCTGAAAGACAGTGAGACAGATGGAAATGACGTGCCTTTGGGCAAAATGATAAAACGCCTTAAAGCCAAGGGAAGTAAGGCAAGAAAAGTGGTGAAGAACGAATCTTTTCCAGATGGAACAAAAAATGAAGATGATGTTGATATCCTGAAAATGGTGAGAGAAATCAATTTGGATAATCTGGGGATATCTGGTAAGTTTGAGTCAAGCAATGGTCATGAAAATGGTCATGAAGATGTTCCAAAGAAAATGAACATTGATCAGAAGCAGCAAAAAAGGAAAAAAAGTTTGGCTAGTGAAACAACAAATGTTCCAATACCCAAACGCCGGAGATCTTCTGCTCAGGGTGCTTACAAATTCTCCATCCCAAAGGATACTTTAAAGGGTTCTAAGTGGACTTCAATTCATAATTTGCCTGAGGAAGAACGGTCATCATTTGAGTCCCCTGAAAGAGACGAGGAACTTCATGGTGGTTCTGAAGATAAAATGTCCTTGCAAGAAAATGTGGTCGAACCAGCTGAATCACATTTGTCTGTAACGTGCTTTCCCAAGAATATGAACTCCTTGTCAAAACATAAAAGCAAAAGTTCTGACAAGGATCATACTGATGAGGTGTATAAAGTTGGAGAAATTGACGACTATGAAGTAAGCTTTTTAACTATTGAAGTTTCTTTGAAAGCTACACACATCCGATGTTTTTTTTAGTTATTCATAGTACAGATTCATATTGCTTTTTTTTTTTCCCCTTCTGTGCAGAGGCATAATAAGCTTGTGGACACTGATGGTACAAAAGCAATTAGTAATTCCAAGGCTTCCACGACATCTGTAAAAAAGCGAAAAAGAAGAAGCCTTGTGGGATTGGCAAAGGTAAGTCTCTCCAGTCATTTAATGTTCTTTCTAATCCCATATAGTGTCACTTTTTTTTTAATTTTATTTTTAGTTTTATTTTTTTAAATTATTTTTGGCTCGCTGTTGATGTATAATGATGCTCACCTGTAGACTTGTGGTATGCTAGTAGCATAAGATTTTGTTGAATCTATTTCTGCTGTAGTTTTTTTTACTCATCATTATACTCCAAGGATTGCTTCAGGAAAACTATTCAGGAAGCTGCATATGTACAAGCAGTGCTGATAACATTTTTTTATAAAGCTCCATTTGTTTGAGTGGAAAACATTTTCTATGGAAAACATTTTCTGGGAAAAAAATATTTTTCTATGTTTGGTGGTGTTGGTGGTGGGACAAAGGTGGAGGTGTAGGTGGTGGTGTGGTGGCGGGGCGGCGGCGGCGGTGATGTCTACGGTGATGCTGGCAGTGGACGTGGTGATGGCATTGGACGTGATAATGGTGGTAGTAGTGTGGTGACATTAGGAAAATTGTAGTCTGGAAAACGTTTTCCATCTTTTAAAAGTGGAAAACATTTTCTGTCCAAATAGACTTGTTTTCCGTTGACTATGAAAAGTGTTTTTCATTTCCTTCTGTTTTCCATTGTACTAAACGCCAGAAAATAAGAAAAATATTTTTCAAAAAATATTTCCGCCCAAACAAACGGATTGTCAGTAAAGGTTCAAATTATCATGGTATTGCTATTTTGTCTTTCAGCTGAGTTAACAACTCATGGTTCCCTTCACTCTGGGGAGACTGTTCAGTTTCTCTTTCAAAAGGTTGAAGTGTACCTCTGGCCTTTGCTAATGAGAAACTGATCTCTTTCAAGGGAAAAAAAAAAGTTTAAAAAAGAGAATAGAGCCAAGGATGGATGAGGTTTTCTTCTGAAAAAGATGAGAAGCACCCTAGAACAAAAAAAAAAAAAAAAAAATGAAAAACAACTAACCAGATAAACAAAATAATACAACCAAGCTGCGATAAAAGCTAAAAGAGGATTACTGGCCTCAAAAGGGTTTTATTATGCTAGTCTTCTCAGTAGTTGGGAAATTGGTGTCTCATTTGCATATTGAATATTCTACAATGCTCAACCAAGTGGGTATAAAAAAATCCATAATATCTCATAGAATATGTTTATCTCCAGGGATTAGAATCTTTCTTACCCATCTGTTGATGTTGGAGGAATAACCTTGCAATTTTCTGGATCTTTATGTAAAGCAGCAAGCACTAGTACAATGTTCCCAACAAGGCAATAGTGTTGCCCTTTGTATCATTTTTTATAGTGGTTGTCTCTGAATGAACTGACACAATCTTCCATGGGAGATTTTTGTAGACAACTCCAACAATACTGTAGCCCACCTAAATTACCGAACAGAAACCTAGAATATGGCCATTGGCCACTCGTGGCAAAGACCTTTAAAGTGGCCAATGGCCATATTCAAATGCTCTCCCTCGGAATCCAAATCACTGCGGATGAGGCACAAGTCCTATAATGTTAGAATTTACCAATTTACTCCTCCACCTACCATCTCCACTAGCACCCACTTCACCTACCACCTCCACTACACTACACCTACTACCCAAACCCTCTCCTATATAATGCCACTTTGATTTGTAATACAATAAATCAACACAACAATCTTGTAATCAATCAATCAATAATACATAAATTTTTACATGGTATCAGAGCAGGTTTAGAACCTAGTATTTTCGCTTTCCCGGCGGGCGGCAACCTTACCTTAGCCGCCCGCCGGACCTCAATCTATTCCGCTTATTTTCTACACATACCTTCCCATCATTGTCCAAATCTTCTCTCTCTCGGAGGCAACCCAGCAACACCCACTCGAGCTTATACTTTGTTATGTTTGGATATTGATTTTGTTGAGAGAATAGAAAAGAACAGGTAATCAAATTATTCACTTTTTTTTTATGGGTTTAAAATATATATATATGTTGAAGAGGCTTCGGGCTTCGTAAGAATATTCCATCTCAGATATTTGGTGTGCATGTGCTGGTTTCCTGCTTGATCCACATGACATGTATCACAAAGTGCACAGAGCTTGTAATGGTATGATGGTGGGCTATTATTTGATGGTGTAAACTTGTGGTCCCAATGATTTGAAAATAAAATGTTGTACTTCTATTTATTTTCAATTGCTGGAAGTTGTATGAATTTTTTGTTTTTTAAATTATGTATGAGGAAAATTTCTGATTGTCAATATATTTCAAGATTTTTCACACTAAAAACTAAGAATCAGATACAACTTTACTTCAAACATATGCCATTACTTGACCTGCTGCTCTGTTTCTTCCTCAGTGCACCTCAAAGGAAGGTGGAAGTGAGACGATGGACCTGATTGATTGCAGAATAAAAGTTTGGTGGCCAATGGATAAGAAGTAAGTATTTGTTGGTCTAGATAAGAAAAAGATTGAGAGATATATGTATGCCTAAGAAAACAATGTATATTGACCTTCCTGATTTTCTTACGCATCCATTTTCTGTTAAGAAATAGTCTGGATCATTTCCTGTTTCAGGTAAAATGAGTTAGGTTAAGGCAATTCATACCCTTCCTGTCAAAAGTTCTATGCTTAAATCTTTTTTCAATGGTATCAAATGTCCTTTAGACATGTGTCGTTGTTGTGTCTCACCACAGGGTTTACCATGGCTTAAGTTCATTCTTCACTTTTTTATGAAATGACTTATTTATTTGCATCCATCAACACAGAAAGCCTTGTCAAGCTCTTTTTTTTAGTCAGTTCCATGGAAGTCTCTGTTTTACTTCTCTGTCTAGTGCCATTTGTTGTCTTCTACAATTGTAACTGTTAATTAGTTTGTTAATTCATTGTCCATGGTATCCATGTTGGATTTTCTGGCCAGCATTAAATATTTCTCTTGGTGCAGCACATTCTATGGTTTTTGTGATTGAACCATCTAAAATAGTTGATTTAGTTTATGACTCAATCAAGCTACTCATAAGTTCTGTGGCCATTCCTTATTTTATCTTTCCTGTTTGTAGTTCGTTAATGGTGTTTTGTGCTAATAAATTATTCAAAGAATACCAAACAAAACCAAACCAAACTAAGCCTAGTATCCCAATCAATAGTCAAAGGCATACCATAAGCTCTTCACCTAAATAATGGATTACGGATATCCTTGATTGCCTGCTTTCTTTATATGTGGTTGCACTTCAAATAACCTTGTATAAATGTGCTACTGTGTTGAGGTGCTTCTTGCTGACATCAACAGATTTTATGAAGGAGTGGTGAAGTCTTATGATCCTCAAAAAAAGAAACATGTGGTAAGCTGTACTATCCTGTTCTTTTTTAACAGAAAATTTAATTTTAAATACTCATAGCTAGTCTTGCTTTGGAGATGCTTTTCATCAATCAAACTATAATTGTATCTCTCATAATTTCATTGGCTAAGGGGATCTTCTAACTCCGTGAGATTTAAGGATAATTCTTTTATACCTATTCTCTCAGGTTGAGAGAGTTTTGCTTTCTTTATAGACTAGGTAGCTTGCTTCTTGAAGCATCTCATTTAACCTTGTTGTAATATCTTTTTTTTTTTTTTCAATATAAAATTTCTTTACTTAAAAAGAAGTTTTCTCTGATCAATTTGTGTTAAAGGTTCTATATGATGACGGAGATGTGGAAGTGCTTTGTTTAGATAAAGAGCGCTGGGAGCTTATTGACAATGGTCACAAGCCTACGAAGGTTAGGTTTCTAGTGTTTCCTATGTGTGAAGCTACAAACTTGTAGTTCCCATTGAAGCAATAAAATTTTTGACGTTTTTTCAACACCATTTACAGAAGTCAAAACCATCAAAGGGTTCCCCTCATAAAGAATTGTAAGTAATGCCTTTTATTTGATATCTACAATCAACATGTCATATAGTTTTGTGGGGAAAAAATATTTGTGTATGCACACTCTTGTGACAGTATTGATCTGTGAATCTAATTTTATTTGTTTTGCAGATCATCTGAGGAGAAAAATAAGTTTTTGAGCAGTTCACAGCAAAACAAAAAATCAATTGATATGTGAGTTGGAGATTTCATTCCAAGTGCTATTTTGAAAAAAATATAAAAAATCATTTTATTTATTGTGTAAACTGCAATGAGTTGCAGAAATTCACCATCTAAAATAAGAGGGAAAAGAACTCCAAGGAAGAATTTGAAGCATGTACAAAAAGGTGCATCAAAGAGTAAAACTACTTCAGAATTGTTGGAAGCTGATAGCAGAGGGAGCCCTGGGATATCAGACCCTGAACATGCTGAAATGCATAAACATGATGATATGAACTCAGGTGAGAAGGTTTCACCGTTTATCCATTTATTTGCTCTAAATCGGAACTAAATTTGTCTAATTTGCACGATAAGGCCAGCAATGTTGTAAGGGATAGAATGTTGGGCAACTAAGAAACAAACACGTTTAGAACATGCGTTTAGTTGAGATGAGAACATTTAGATGGTTATGTGGTAAGACTATGAAAGAGAGAATTAGAAATGAATATATTCATGAAATGGTATGAGTAGCAATTGAAGATAAGTTGAGAGAGAATAGACTAAGATGGTTTGGTCATGTAAAATGAAGACAGATGCAACATTAAGGAAGAGTGATATAATCATCGTAAATGGAAATGTTAGGGGGAGGGAAAGTCTTAAATTGACATCAGACACGGTAGTAAAAAAAGATATGAATTTATGTAATGGAGTTGAAGATATAGCCCTTGAGAGAACAAAATAACCAAAAAGGATTCATGTAGGTTGCCCCACTTGAGTGGGACACAAGTTTAGTTTGGTTTGTATTCTTTCTTCTCTAGTTTGTATTCGGAAATCTCTGTATGTATAGATGTTTGTATCTCCATGTACAAGACAAGGTTGCATGTGAGGGAGGGTGTTGTTGGGCCCATTTGCTAACAATTAAACCTTTTAGAACTAGTTGTGATCTAACACAGTTTTAAATTCTTGCATCCAGACCTTAATCCCTGTTCTTTGGTTAGATATGCTATTTTCAAAGCCCAACTGCTCTTCAATGGTTCAAATCTAGTCCCAAAGATGGCAAACTAGCTTATTACCATTCGTTGGTTTCATTTACAGTCCTGGAACAGCATTGATATTGTTCTCTAGTGTTCTATTGCTAGCTGGTAAGCTGACCCATATTTCTCCCTGCAGGGCTCACATTTGCTGATGAGCGGGGGGGAGCAACTAATAAACCTCTAAAAGTGTTTCTTTTGTTACAATTCATAAACCCAAAAATTCCATTTGTACTAACCGTTATCCCATATAAGTTTACTATAAATTATATAATCAGCCCGAAGAATTTTCTTTAGTGCTTTTTATCAGAACTTGTAGGCTGGTATTTCTCTGTGAAATTTGTCACAGTGATTTGAATATGACGCATCAGATGAACCTCAGAAACCCGAAATTCTTTGGAAATGTAGAAGTTAGCATTATGATTCGGAATGGTCACATCAGGTCGTGGTGTTGAACTTAGCTTTGAGCTCAATCCATCTTTTCCATCCATGTCATTCTCCTTTCTGTGAACTTGCAAAGCCACATTGTAGGGATTCATATTGTCTCCGTCCTCCTTAACTCAGTTATATAAGGAGTTTTTATTTTAATTTTTTTTTCCGGTGATTCAGGAGGGGAACATATTGAAACAACAGAGAAGAGTTTAACGGATGGGGAGGAATCTGACAAGGATCAGGAGTTGGCTTCTGAAGGGAAACTAGCAGAGGATGCAAAGAATGCCCCAAGTGATATTGAAAAATCCGAGCAAGAGGAGCCTAATTCTGAAGAGAAAACAATTAAGCCTTTGGTAGGTACTGGGGGATCAAATGAAGATGGGAGTCCTGGTGTAGAAGAGAAGCAACCAGATGATGTATTAAGGGAAGGAACTAGAGAGGAAGCAGATAAAGCAGACCAGTCAAAGCAGACAGATTCTGAAGAGACTGAAGCAGATGATCATGAGAGTAATCCGATCGATCAAGACAGAAATGACAAAAAGACGTTAGCTTCTTCTGATTCTGGTGAAGCAGAGATTTCCGACGATGAGCCTCTTGTACTTTTCTTTTTAGCCTTGAATTCATGATTATAACTCAATTGTCTTAAATCTAATATTAGCTTTTGTCAAATGCAGAGCCTGTGGAAGCATCGTGTGGGAAAACCAGTCCAAGGAAAATAGGTTAGCAGCCATGAGGCCATTATACAACTCGGGCAATAATTTTCAGAGCTGCACAGCAATGGTTGATTTGAAAGGGTTATGTCAAGTTGTAGTCGAGTTCATGATGGTGGAGAAGACAAGTGCGGTAGCATTGTGGTGAGGTGTAGTGTAGGATAACAGTGATAGATCTGTATGCAACCCCAGCAGATGCTGATAGTTGATTGGAATTGTTTGGACCTCATGTACAGCTATATAATGAACAGTGTAGCTCTCAACTTCAGGGGTGTTTTTAGGTTGTTTAATGTGTAAATGCCTAAACTGTGAAAATGATATAATTGGCCTTTGCTTTCGTGGGTTTTGTCTTCTCTCTCTCTCTCTCTCTCTTTCTCTGATTGTAGATTTTTTCCATGAAAGTGGCTAATAAAAAAATGCTGGGCCATATGCATATGAGTTTTTAGTGGCTAATACGCTGGTTTGAATAACTCCTAATTTTAATAGCTATCCTTGTCTTTGGCTGTTTTTGGCCTATTTAGGGAGGATAGAATTTAGAACAGTGAAGATAATTGAAGTCAATAGTCCAATTGGAATTCCTTTGAGAGAATTCTAAATGATTGAATTCTCACACCTCAAATTCCAATAGAACCAAAATCAAAGGGAGAACCAAACCACACTTCAAAAAAAAGAAAAAAGAAAAAATAAAGGGATTGTAATTTTTCAATTTACGTCATAATCTTTTTAAAAAATTAGTATCAATCTAAATCACCTTTGTAATGCTATCTCCACATGTACTCGTACTCTTATTATAGATCTAAGTAAAAGAATTGAGTAATTTTTAAACTCAAATTTAGAGTGATAATTTGGAAACTTAATGTCACCACAAAATAATTTATGGAAGTTTGAATGAAAAAAGTTCTCTTAATTTGATTGAAAATGGAGTAAAATTTATTTTGATATAAATTTGAATGAAAGAGCATAGATAAATGGTGGAAAGTGAAGCTTGTAGGGGGAGATTAGGTTGTGATTAGGTTTAAATACTTAGAAATTCTTAAAACAGTTGGAATCTTACTTGGTTAGTTTATTATTAAAAAAAAAATCAACAATTAACATGTAATAATATAATTTAGAAGTAATATTTTAGCAGTCTTTTTTTTCTTGTAATTAGGGGTTCGCAATTAAAAATTAAAAAAAAAAATTGTTTTGGTAGGGAAGGTGACGCTGACTGAAGTTACTGTGTATGATGGACCTGGTCTAAGCGTCAGATGTTTTAATTTAAGAAAGAAATGGTCACACACACGCGCATATCCAAACCCGACCCGATCCAACCCAACCCAACGCAGCAACAAAAGCAGTGTCCGTTTAACAGGTCATTGGACCACGTCACACTCAAATCACATTCTTTCGTACATAGGTCCTGTTTGGTAAAATTTATTTTCAGTTTATTTTAATTTAAATTATTTTGATGTGTTTAATTCAGTTTAACAATACAATTTATAACTTTTTATAAGTCAAAAATTAATTTATTCTTTGAGTGGGAGAGAAAAAACTTAATTTATAAGTTAAAAATCAACTTATATTTACAACTATAAACTATAAACTGTTAAGATATAAGTTATAATCATTTTATTACAACTCTACCAAACGAGCCATAGAAGAGGCTACTCAACACGCCATTGCTTTGTTTTTGTTTTTTTTGCATTGCTGACCCGTGGACCAGTTCGTCCACTTTACCCAAACCCATATCTCTGTCTCTCTCTGTCTCTCTCTCTCTCTCTCTTCTCACAATATATATATATATATATATAAACACACACGCATACATACATACATATTATTCTCACTTTTAAAAGAATCGGCTAAGCAAAGGAGGAACTGGCAACCACTCTAACAAGGTCCCCTCTCTCTCTCTCTCTCTCTCTCTCTCTCTCTCTAGGGATCTAGCGTTTTGCTGAGTTTTCTGCAATTGTTACATATTATATCTTACATTGTTGTGTTATACAGACATACATACATGAATACATGCTTACATTTTACATGTGCTTTTGGCTTTCATGCTCTCTGAACGAACTCATCATTAATTTGTTTTGATATTTACTAAAACTTTACTTGCTTGCTTCCTTCTGCTCAAGTTGAAAGCCTACACAATGTTGGGAGTGAAATTTGGGATTCCAAATTAGTTTGAGCAATACTTAAAAATTGGTTAGTTTATTAGGATCTTTAGTTTTGAGAGTCGAAGCAATTTGGATTGGAAGTTGGAATGAATTGTAGTCGAAAATGAGTGGGTTTAATTTGGGTTTTCCCCAATCCTACCATGACCCCTAAATGGGGAAACCCCTACCGCTAAACAATTATGGGTTTGGGCATTAATATTATGTGAGTGTTTAATTGTGAACCCTCCCTACCCAATCTAAAATGACAAATGTCCTCTGTCTCTCTTAGGTGGTTGGAGTGTTATGGCTTCCATATGACAGCAAGAGATACTATCTAGAGAGAGAATGAACATAGACCAAAGGTATTTGATCTATGAAGCACGGGCAGGATTGGGTGGCATTGTGGTTAAGGCTTGGGGTTTTAAGCCTCATAGGTTCAATTCCCTCCTTCCTGGGCCAATCTCTTGGGTGAAGCACAGTTGGTAGAAGATTGGATCTCAAGTTGTCTAAGGAGAGCTGCCTTGGACCTATTGGAGGGTAGGGAGGATTTTTTTTTAAAGTTGTTTAAGGGGCGCTGCCTTGGACCTATCGGAGGGTAGAGAGGATTTTTTTGTAACAAAAAAAAAAAAAAAAAAAGCACGGGCAAGAGTATACAAGTACGATACGGGTATGTCAATATAATAAAATCTACAAATGGTAGGATACAAGTAGGGTTTGATACGCTTGGAAAAAAATATTTATTTTTAATTTAGAGTAATGTGAAAATTAATTAAATGTTTAATTTGTTAAGATCTAATCTATAATTAACATTTAATGCCAAAAGTAAAGGTATAAATCAAAATTAAATGTCAATTTATTACATAACTTACAAATCATAGTTTAATTTTAAATTAGACTGAGTATAAAAAAAAAATAAATAAAAAAAGTCTAGTAAAATGAGTTTTATCTCTGTAGTAGAAGAAAATATTATTTCAACTGAGGTACGGTACGACGTGCATATGTATTAGGTATGTCTGAATACGCCAAAAAATAAGAAGAAAAAAATTTAGGTACGTGTTTCGTGTATCATACGAGGTACCATACACCGGTAAGTATCTGGTACGAGTATGACATGTTTTTCGAAGTACCATGCTTTATAGTATTTGATTATGTTCAAGACACATAAAGATCTAATCTTTTGTTAATGAAATTCTGACCACTGATGGTTCAAAATAATGAAATTTTGTCTGTTAGTGATTCATATATAACAGGAACAAGAACAAGATATTCACCAGTCATTGGATTCTACTAAATCAATTTTGTAAAATTTCCCGTCTTTTCTTCTTGATGACTAAATTTGAATTTGATTATTTTTTCAATGTTTACATTGACATTAGCACATGCATAGAAGTAGTTTTTGTCTTGCCAAAAAAAAAAACAGTTTTTCTAGTACACACCTCTTTCTCCCTCCACCATTCTCTCTATATCTGCTTTTTAACTAATTATACTCTGGTTTAATATTTACTTCTCGCTCTCGTATTTTGTTCACTGGCCGTCTTTATTGGTGATTCATAATTTGTTTCTCATTTGCCTGTTTTGGTTGAAAACTTTGAGATTATTTTCTCATTGATTTTTGTATCTTTGAATTCAGTTTGCTTTGTTACCTTGTGGGCTCTGTTCTGGCCATTTTTATTTTTTATTTTTTTTCTTCTTTCTGAACTTGAAGTCTTTCTTTGTGACAGTGGATTATGGGGGAACCTAATGGTCAGTTAAAAGTAACTGTTGTGAGAGGGAAAAAGTTGGTGGTCCGAGACTTCAAGAGCAGCGATCCTTACGTCATTGTCAAGCTGGGCAATCAGGTTAATTTGTGCTATATTATCCTTCTATTACGCCATTGTTCTTTTATATTTGCTTAAAAACAATATAGAGAATGAAGAAAACAGTAACTCATTTTTATTCCACAAGTTTGTGTGAATTTTTCTCTCAATAAGACACTCGACTAGGCTATTTATACTAAGTTTTAAGTGTCGGATTGCTTTCCTTATTAATGTTCCAGAAATAAATTTAATTTTCTGTGACAGACAGCAAAGACCAGAGTTATAAACAGCTGCCTCAACCCTGTTTGGAATGAAGAACTGAGTTTCTCCCTCACAGAACCTGTTGAAATTCTGAACTTGGTAAATTCCTAGTTCAAGCTCTATGTCTAATTGTGCTTTGATTTTCACACTGCATAATTTCTTTTTTCAAATCTTTTTCCTGTCTCAAAATTTCCTTATTTGGACACCGAAATATATGTATATATATTCTTTTAATTTGACTTGTTCGTTTTTTGTTTTTTAAATTCTATATTGAATATTTTGGCTGATGAAGTGATTCTGAAGATATTAGTAACATTGTAACTTGAGTTTAGATTTCAATAATTCAATGTCATCTGACTAAAATGTTTCATCAACAGCAAGTGTTTGATAAAGACCGATTCAAGGCAGACGACAAGATGGGGCACGCTCACCTCGATCTTCATCCATTAATCTCAGCGGCAAGATTGAGGCAGATACTGGGCGTTTCTTTGGGCGAGACAACATTAAGGAGGGTCATCCCCGACACCGACAATTGCCTGGCTGTGGACAGCACAATTAATTGCATAAATGGTGAGGTTGTGCAGGCTGTTTGGTTGCGGCTTTCTGATGTGGAGTCTGGGGAGATCGAGCTGATGATCAAATTAGCCAATCCCCCTCCTGTTGCTACCTCATCGGTAGTCTAGTATCCTACCCTCTCCCTGTAGCATCTTTAGTAAGTGTAGTCATGCTATGAACACTAAAGATTTTCACATAATGGGACACAGATATCAGACAAAGGGCGGTCTTACACGTGAGGTTCCTCATTTGTCTTACTTTTGTGTCCTATTATGTGAAAATTCTCTTTTCACTTAGATTTAGTCTTAGAAGTAAGAAGATTTATGTAGGAGATTTAGCCATCGATTAGCATGCTTTTGATTGGTTGTTGTTGGAAGTAATGGGCTTAAAATTGTTTCCAAGTGTTGTGCAATTTGAAGTCCCATGTATGAAGGGTGTAATTTAATGTTGGTGTTACATATATATGATGTAGCAGTTAATTGTAAATCATTATTTTTTCAAGATAAACATTTTTTTTTGCTATGGCTGCTTTGAAAATGAATCCTTTCTAGTTGACTTATTTCTGGATTGAAATGTTTTTTGGCAATTTTTTTAATAAAAAAACTCCTTTTCCAGATGACATTCCATACACCAAAAAAAAAATAATCAGAGTGACATTTTAGTTGGTGTATTGTGGCATGGAGAAAGTTTTTAAGGGGTATTGAAAAAAAAGATTTTTTTTTTTTTTTTTTTTTTTTAAACTTCCTTGCATTTAAAGATGTTAGGAATACTGATAAATAGACCAATGAACATATTAATAAAGATACAAAATCATGGTTTCGTCACTTGGGACGTGTGGTGTGGTCCATGTTTGAATTATTTTAGGGAAATATTATGGTGCATATCTCTTAAAGAATATATACCGTATACGCTTTATAAAAAATGATATAATTTTATATTTTTATAGTTATAATTAAAATAAAAAAGAAAAAGGAAAAAAAGAAATTATAACCAAATAACACATGAAGTATAATAAGAAGTCTTACGAGTCATAATTAAAATAAAGTCATAATTAAAGAAGGAAATTGACCATAACTAAAAAAATAAAATGACATAACTTAGGGGTGCATATGGTGAGAGTGTGTATAGTAAAATTTCTCATTATTTTTATTATCAAATGTTTTGTCTAAATCTGTAAGAATTTATGTATTATTGATTGATGTTTATTGATCTCTATTACAATGATTCATGATTCCTATATATAGAAGAGGGTGAGTGTGTGGTAGGTAAGGAGTAGGTGAAGTGAAGGTGGTAGTGGTGTAGTGGGTTAGGTTTAGTGGAGTAGGTGAGGTGGTAGTGGTGTAGTGGGTTAGGTTTAGTGGAGTAGGTTTAAGTGGGTGAAGTAGGTGGAGAGTAATTTTAAAATAGTCATGTTTTTAAAAAATAGAATAAATTATGGCAAGTATCTTGAAATTTGGAGAAAATGACAAATACTATATGTTTTAACGCAAACAGAATTAATACAAGTGAGGTGTAAATCCATTAATATAATTATTAATGAAAAATTGATTATGTATTATGTAATTATGTTAAACTTGTGAGCTTAATGTATTTTTTTTTTTTTAATCTTAAACTGAGTTCGTATAATTTATCCGAAGTAATATGTTTAAGAAAAAAAAAATGTAAATGAATCATGCGTTTTGGGGATTTGAGATTTGAAAAATGTTTGGTAGCTCAAAATTTTGTGGCTTAAATCTGTCAAAATGACGTCGTTTTACACTTAAAATCTGTCAAAACGACGTCGTTTTGAGTGATTTGAGTTATTTGAGCCACAAAATTTTGAACTACTTAACCTTGTTCATTTTTTTTTCTATTCTTAATAAAAAATAGTAATAATAAAAAAAACTATTTTCTAAAATAAAATAAAAAACCAAAAAAGAAGGCAATAATGATGGGTAACGAGCCAGCCTCTTTAGGTTCTTTCCCAGTTCAACATCCTTGGTGTGTCCACAAAACAAACAGGGCTCGTTTGGTTTGATTTTCTGAAAAAAATTTGGGAAATTTTCTCTACAAATAAGTTTTCAAAAATAACCAAACCAAACAAATTTTTCCAAAAAAATTTCTCAAAACTTGTAAACCAAACAAGTTTTCCAAACAAATCTCTCTCTCACACACATCAAATCAATCACTTTTTCCAAAACTCTATCTCAAAATAATTTTCCAAAACATATTTTAAAAAAAACCAAACCAAACATGTTTTCGTACTTTTTATCTCTAGGGATGGCAATGGATAACCTATCCTGTGGGTATCCATGGAGACCCAACCCAAATACATGGGTTTTCCCCTCTTTTTCTTATCCATTGGGTAGGGTAGGTGATATTCTTTAAATATCCACAGGGGATGGGTTGGGGATGGGTACCCACTAATTTCCCCATATGTTTTTTTTTTTTATTTTTATTTTTTATTTTTTTTTATTTAAGATTCACAACTAAAACTAAACATATATTCAATCTTTTTTCTTTCTTTTTTTTTTTTTTTTTTTTTTTTTTTTCAGGTTCCCAACCAAAATTTTTTTTTTTTTTTGAGATCCACAACCAAAGCTAAATATACGTCCAATCTTTTTTTATTTTATTTTTAAGGTTCACAACATTTTTTTTTTAATTTTTAAGATTCACAACCATTTTTTTTTAATTTTTAAGATTCACAACAAAAGCTAATTATACATTTAATTTTTTTCCTTTTTTTAATTTTTTTTAAGGTTCACAACCATTTTTTTTTTTTTAAGATTCACAACCAAAACTAAATATACATTCAATCTTTTTTGAGTGGCCAATCTGAAGGGCCCAACCCAAAACGAGGAATTCGAGATCCAGAACAAACTCTTCTTCTCTTAGTCAGCCATATTAGAACTCGAGAGCAGCGACTCAAGCTCAGCTAGCGATCATCAGCGAAGACTCGAACAGCCATGTCCGCCGGTGAGTGCTTCCTCTCTCTTTCTTTATCAGATTTTAATGGAAGAACATAGTTGTTGCCCTAATTTAATCTCTAATTGTGTGCCCTAATATTTGTGTATTAATGGAATAGCCTCTAATTTTTATTTTTGTTTGTACCATTTTACCCAAACTTTTGTTTTGAGGGTAAATATGTGAAAGGGCCCCTCTTAAGAGCTTGCCTAGGGCTTGTCTAATCTAACTTGAAAAGGGTTAATCAAACTTGAAAGGGGTTGTGTCCTGGGTTATAAGATAAAAAAATAAACAGAACAAAAAAGTCACTCTTGGTTATGTTGCTTATGTAATATGTTAATGAATAAGCTAGTCGTGTGCTTGTTGCAATGTATATGTTCATGGAATTCTTCTTCCTGTGGTGCCTTGTTTACGTGCCTAGATTTTTGTTGATATGCCAACCTGTGTAAGTGATTTTTTGGGGGTTTTTGAGAGAGGTTGTAAATTGCTTTAACTGTGTGTGAACATGGTTGGTATATATCATGTAGAAATGAAATCTTCTTCCTAATTTTTATTATCTCAAAGTATTTCTTTATTTTGGGTTAGTAAAATTGTTGTGAACCTTAAAAAAAAAAAAAAAAAAAAGTTTTTGTAAACATTAAATAAAGAAAATAAAAATGAGGATTAAAGTGGGTTGGGGAAAATCCATACCCATTAAAAAATGGGGAGGGTGGTACCCATGGGGAATGAGGAATGGGGAATGAGGAAAATTTATTATAGGGGAATGGGAATGGGGAATTAATATCCACCCCATTGCCCCCCATTGCCATTCCTATTTATCTCTAAAACACATCTCTCAAACACAAACCAAACATACCCATGAATCTCAAATTGGCAACAGCAGCAACAGGGTCTGAATCAACGAACCCTAACCCCAACGAAGGAGGCAAAAGACAAACCGTAGATCTTGGAAATGGAAGCGAAGTGGTGTTCATTACCCGATTCCTATCCCTTGAGGATTCATGGAAATGGTTCGATTACCTCAACAAAGAGATCCCTTGGATCAGACCTACAATTCGCGTCTTTGGCCGTTTTTGTCTCCAGGTCTCTTATTTTATCCCATTCATATCTGTGTTCTTCTGTATGTATGTAGTATAAAATTAAATAATGTATTTGTCTCTCTGTCTGTGTATCCATCCTTTAAATGCTGATCAAGAAGGGAAAGATAAAGGTGGAATTTTTGATTTTTTTTTTTTGGGTGCTAATTTCTTGGATAAATGAGAAAGGAAGCATTACAAAATGAAAATGAGAGAAAATGCTCTTTTTAAATTTATTTTATTTTATTTTATTTTATTTTTGAATTTGTGTATTATGTATATGTATAATCCATATCTGTGAGTGCATTTATTTGTATCTCTCTCTCTTTCTCTTTGTATGATATAAATGCTGTTACAAGATGGAAAAAAATAAAGATAGAATTTTGTATGAATTTTGTGGCTAATTTATTGTGTACTTAACGGTGGGTGCAAACGTGATGCGGTTGCAATTTTACATCTAAACTTTTGGGTTGTTTGATGAACAGCCTCTTTAGGTTCTTTCCCAGTTCAACGTGGGCAACTATTACTTGTTTTTCTTGGAGAGAAAAAGGGCCATTGTCATTGGAGTTGAATGTTGAAGATAACTCTGAGCATTTCGACCCTTATTTCAGAGATTCTTGGAATGGGAATTTTGAAGGGTGGAGGTTTGTGTAGTTCCAAGACTACATTTTTTATTTATATAGCACTAACAGAAAGGTCAAATTCATATGAATGCATTATGCATCAAAATTTTGAAGCTCTTGAGGCACTTATCAAATTAGGAAGCCCCTTAGGGTGCTATAGTGGTTAGTGATACAAGTTACCAGTGTTATTAAAAGCGATAAGTGCACCAAGGCGCCAAGGTCTCTTGAGGCCTTAGGCGCAAGGTGAGGCGTGGGCTTCATCAAGGTAAGGCGCATTATGGTAGGTTGAAATAATATAATTTAATATGAGGCATATAAGCAAATAACTAATTGGTATAACATAAACAAAATGTAACATTGAACATTTAAAAAAATGAATACCAACAAATATCGCTATTTTAACATAGATAAATGAGTAATGTTCCAAAGTTTAACATAAAACACGAATATTCATGATCTAAAGGTCAACTAAATCGACAATATTAACCTGTATATTTGAAGGATATGATATAATTTCAGCGGTCCACTAAAGGAAAAAAAGCTCTCAAGGTTTGCTCCTTGGGCTTAATTGAGCCTTGTTCTTGTCACGCGCTTTAATCGTGCCTTAGTGAAGTCGCCTTGCCTTGACCATTGCAAGGTGCAGGGGGTGGGCGTGGCTGGGACTTGCTCCTAGGCACGATTCTAATAACACTGCAAGTTACGTAGTCTAAATAGCTTTTTAGTTGTTCCATAACATCAATTTTCAACCATCCTAAAGTTTTCCTAGTTATTTTCCTTTTATTTTTTTGTGACAAAGGAATATAGTACTTTGAATGGTTTTTGAGAGAAAGGATTGTAGTACTTGAGTGTAATGGGACACACCCTTTTGCTGGAGGATGTAGAAATACTGCAACAACAAAAATTGGACAGTTTCCAGGTTGGTGACTTTTAGGATTTGCATGGACATGATATTGGTGATTAGTGTTGATTTTATCTGATTTCTACTTTATTCTGTTTCCTTGTGCAATAATTTATGTTCATTCCCATGGGCATGATTAGCCAATGCTTGTTTTCCATGGTTTATCTTTTGTTCTACAGCCTAGAGACACTTGTTATGTTGCAAGTGCAGGATTGCCAGAATTAAGTTACAGTGGGTATCAGCCTCATGCATACTCTTGGGATGATTTTCCTCCACTAAAGGACATTTTGGAGGCGGTAAGGATATTTTGTTCAAGCTTTCTCATCATCTTTTTGCCAAATAATACTATGTTTGTCCACCACTAATTTCCGAGTTGCTTTAGCAGAACTTTATATCTTCACTTCTTTTGCTGTAGGTCCACAAAGCTTTTCCTGGGAGTAGTTTTAATAGCTTACTATTGAATAGGTATAAAGGTGGCAATGATTATGTAGGTTGGCATGCTGATGATGAGAAGCTTTATGGTTCAACTCCTGAAATTGCCTCAGTTTCCTTTGGTTGTGATCGCGAGTTCTTGTTGAAGAAGAAACCAAGCAAAATGTCCCAAGGTATAAGCAAGCATTTATTTTTTTCTCTGTTTTGGTATCTGAACAGTGTTTGATGGTAACTTATTAGGTTTTGGATTTGATTAATGTATCAACCTGTTTTTGCACTGTGCATTGTCCTGCACTGATGCATTGTCCCCTTTAATTGCTTGTGTTCATTATGGTTGAGGACATACCCTTTGTATATATAATTATAGCCCCAACTCCAAAGACCTCCGTATTGATTTCAATGGCATGAGACTGCCATGCATCAATGTTGGAATCGGCAACATTTTTATTCAAGAACCATCCACACAATATCCCAGTATAAAGGGTAGTTTGGGGATGATCTAAATAAGTGCACTTTTTGACTTTTTATGAAATATGAGTTGGATATGGGTTGGGTTTGAAGTAATGTGGTAGGGAGGTGATGTGAGTTAAACAAGATAATGTGACTTAAATAGGATAGTGACTTTTTGACTTTTTAATTTTTTAGATTATAACAAATAAAGCCCAAGTTTTGTTTCTATCTAAGTTTTACAGCTGTGTTGTACTTGTGTTGAACTTACTTTTTTTTTTTTTACTGTCTCATGTAAGTGCCAACAGATAAAAGAGTTGAGGGTGAACCTCCCAGCAAGCGATCAAAGAAGAGTAACCATTCTGACCATCACTTATTTACATTAAAGCATGGTTCACTGTTGCTGATGAGAGGCTATACCCAGCGGGATTGGGTCCACTCGGTGCCTAAACGTGCAAAAGCAGAGGCCACCCGCATTAACCTCACTTTCAGGTTTGTTCTGTGATTTAGCCAGCTACGAAGAAAGTGACCGCCAAAGGTTTCATGTACAAAATTTCTAGCTGTGCTCCACTGGATCTACTCCGTATAGAAGGTGCTTAATGTCTTGTAGAAATTGAATGCATTGCTGCACCTTTTGCTTGTTTGTGCCAATGTGCCATACCATACCATGTTTGCTTCATGGATTTTGCTTAGCTGGCATGATTGGGGAGCACACGAAAACGTATGTGCAACCATTTATATATTTGTTTGATTCATGAGGCTGTTTAAGGTTAATTGAACAGCCCAGTTTTATGAATATGATGTTTCATAGGAACAGAAATTAGAAATCTTATGGTCAGCTCTGCTTTTCCATATGGATGTTGCTCACTATTTATGTTGTGAATGATCGATGGTGGTGACGACGCTAGCCAAACATTGCATAGTGGTGAACATGTGGAGGGAAAGAAAAGAGAAAAATTGAAGAATGGTCAAGGTTTGGCTTAAGTGATTGTTAATGTAAATAAAGAGCAGCATCACGTCAATTATTTTGGATTCTCTATTTTTTGCGCTTCCACTTATAAATTTTAAAACTCATAAAATTTCTTTTCTCTCTCTAAATAATAGCAAAATTATTCTTGTGAAAATATTTTATCCATTCAATTGAATGCACACTCCGCATTACAAAAAATGTTTCTTTCAAAAAATCTTAACAAAATTCACGAAGGTGGTTACTACTTTATTTGTACCTATTTGTTCATGACCTTACAGTGAGAAAATAAATGTAGAGTTTTTAATCTTCAATCTTCAGAGTATATCAACAATAAATTGGGTTGGGGTTTTTGTGTTTGAGAAAGAAGAAGAAGAAGAGCTAAGTGATTATTGTTAATTGTCTTGACAAGACTGGCTTGAGTTGTGATCTCTATCGTCTCATCTTTTTCTTTAGTTTAACCATTGTCAGAGTTGATTATCTGTTCTTGAACAAATAAGAAATATTTGGTTATTTATTTCCGAACAAATAAATAATGTTTGGACTTGTGTTCCTAAATTTCGGTTATATGTTTGGGAGTTTAGTCTCAAAAAAATGATGAACAATTTTTATTATTTTTTTCAAGAAATTTATCCTTAGAAAGTCAATATTCTCTGAACTAAGAATACCATTAAAGGTATGAACCTTCTTTATTGTTGTATTCCTCTCATTTTATGGAGTTGTGTTTACCGGAAAAATTTTCACTTATTGTCATTGTAGAAGTGTAGGTAATTAAATGATTGCCACCGTTACCATCGGAATATTGCCACCAAAGGGCTTTCAAAATTTTGAAGGTGAGATTTGAAAAAGATGGATGTGTGATGATGGAAATGGGTGCTCTCATAAATCATAATTCATAATGTAATGGGTGTGTAGGCTTAATTGTGAGATGGAGTATCCCAAAATTATTAATATTCTTTTTAATAATTTTATTTGAGATTATTATTGTAATAAAAAAAATTAAAAAATGAAGAATCTAAAATAATTGATGAGGTGGTAATAGCAGCATGCTAAATAAAATTTGTTAGTTAAGTTAAGTAACAAAGAGGATAAATTTTGTACAGGAGACTTGTAAAATCTTAACAACTTCTAATCTGCTTGGAGAAATAGGTTAAAAATTAATTTTTTTGATTTTTTTAAAAGAACATGCAAAAAATAGAAAAGTAATATGATTTAAAAAAGTCAAAAAATTAATATGTTAAAATCTTCTCAAAATAGGTCAGAGGATCAAATTAAAACACTTCTTATAAATTAAAATCTATACCAACACAATTTAAACATGGGCCAATTTGAAAATATAGTTGAAAGTTAAAATTTTAGGTCACACCACTCCTTTATTTTTTTTTTACACATTTTTTTTAAAAAAAAAGTCAAAAGAAAAAAAAATCAACTTTTAATTAACTTCCCAAAACAACCCAATAGTAACTAAAAAATATTTATTTTAAAGTCTCAAAATATAGTCAACTCCATAAAGTATTATTATTAGTTAGTTTATTTATTTTTTTGGTGCCAAGTAAATATTACACTAGGTTTGATTTATATTTCTAGAATTTACTTTTCAAAAAAATTTATTTTTTATTTTGAGATTTTTTTTAAGGTCCCTAGTATTATGATTTTATAGCATAAATGACATTTAATATTTTCATAATGTCTAAGGTCCTTCAACATTGATCTAGAGAAATTCCAGTCTAGAGAAATTTCAGCCCAGAGAAATTCTGGGCTTCCAAAGATTTTCTCTGGGTTCAAGACTTTGAACATTCAAATTTCTCTAGATCCATGGACAAACATTAAAAAAAAAAAAACAAACTAAAACAAAAAAAAAAAAAAAAAAAAAATCAATCCAGAAAAAACTCAATCCAAATCAGAGAATTTCTTTGGTTCAAACCAGATAAATTCAATCAAAATCATAGAAAATTCAATCTAAATCAGAGAATTTCTCAGGATTCAGTTCGACCAATTTTCAAACCAGAGAAAATTGATAAATTTTGGACTTCCCAGACCCAAAGAAAATTGACTTCACCAATTTTACTTAGTTAAAGGCAAAGAAAATTAAACAAATTTCTCTGCCCTCCCTGCCTCTCCTAGACTCAACTCTCCAGAGAAAATTTGAAAATTTCTTTGATCTTCCCTTCTTTCCAGAGAAATTTTCCTTCTCTGGCCTTCAGAGAAATTTCCCTCTCCAGAGAAAATTTCTCTGACCTTCCTAACCTTCCCTTCTCTCCAGAGAAATTTCCCTTCTCCAAATCCAAAGAAATTCACTCAAACCAGATAAATTCCCCAAACCTAGAGAAATTCGCAAAGAGATGGTGTATGTAGCACGCAGCTCTGAAGAGACCAACAGCTGGTTTTGAACAAAACCGTGGGCTGAAATATCACCCACATGTATAGAACTAGATAAGAAGAGACTCTCCAACCTAATCAGTGACAACTAAAACCCAGATAAGAACCAGTTAAAGCTCTATATGTGCTAATGCAAACCTCCACAATTTACGAGTGGGGCAAAAATAAAAGAAAAAGAAAAAGCAGAATACAAAGTACATGAACCCAACTACAGTACTAAGTATTATATGAGAATCTGAGGGACAAAACCAAGAAACACTTAGCTGGTATATAAATTCTCATTATTCATGTATACTTGCTTATATTACTACATAAAAAAAAGAAAAAAAACAAGTGGGGTTCATGTACTCTTATCTTCTTTTGAACAAAACCGTGACCAAAAGTTGGTTTTGAACAAAGCCATCAACCAGCTAGCATGTGCAGGAATAGACCCACGCCTCACCTCGCGCTGGAACGGAAATCAACAGCACCGCTAGACCACTACCATGCTTGGCGGAACCACCAACCTGGAATAATGAAACCTGAATCTCCATGTTTACTAACTTAGACACCCAGACCAAACGAACCAGGATACACCGACCTTACCCGAGGTGTCATAGACACACTGCCGACGACGCATCCGTGTCCAAACCATAGCAACACTGCAGCGACACACGATCTCACAAACGACATGCTACCAACCTGCGACTATCACCATCCATCGGAGAACCAGAGCAACGAAGCTTCCACCTAGAGACCTGCTACAGCAGACCACCAAGAGTCCCCAGTACACAACTGATAGGGGAGACAGAGAGAGTTTCGTCGGATCTCCAACGTTTCAGTATCCCGACTTGAATCGACGGGGAAGATCGTACATGAAGACCCTGTGTGTAGTGAACTCTCTGAGTTTCTCGGATCATGTTCATTTTCTCTCTCTAGAAAGCTTTGGGTTTCTCTCTCTGTATGTATGTATGTATGTACATGTCTGTATGTAGTGAACTCTCTGTGTGTGCGTGTTTGATCGTGGTGATGAGTGAGAGTAGACAAAAGGAGGGGGCTGAATTTCTCTGTGATAGATGGGAGGGACCTTAGACATCAAAAAATAATATTGTGGATGTCTTCCATTACTAAAAATGAGAGAGAGACTTTAGACTAATTTTCCCTTTTATTTTTGTATATATATTTTTTGTTTTCACTGGATTTTTTTAATATTTTAAGCAATTTTTTTTTTTAAATTTTTAGATACACCTAACATAAATATATGGAATTTTTTTTAGGGTCCTTGATATTAAGATTTTATAGCATAAAGGACATTCAATATTTTCATAATGTCTTAGGTCCCTCAACATTGATCCAGAGAAATTTCAATCCAGAAAAATTCTGTCTAGAGAAATTCGCTCCAGAGAAATTCTGGACTTTTCAAAGAATTTCTCTGGGTTCAACCCAGAGAAAATTCAAATTTCTCTGGGTTCATTTTGACCAACTTTCTCTGATTTCAAATTTCTCTGGGTTCATTTATAAACCAGAGAAAATTCAAATTTCTCTGGATTCATTTTAACCAATTTTCTCTGGATCACAATATCATTTTGCGAAATCATTTTGACAGACCTTAGACCAATTTCTCTGAGTTCAAATTCAAATTCTTCCTCTAGAGAAATTCTTTGATAGCCATCATCATCATCATCATCATCATCTTCTTCTTCTTCTTTCTACATCAAATAAGTAGCTGTAGTAGCACCATGAAAGCCATATAAGCAAGAGCACTTTGATAGCATCAACACAAATACACAACATGACAAATGATTAACTGGAGGTAGCATGAGACAATAACAAAGCTTCCAGAGAAATTTGAACAACCCAAAGACCTACCAGAGAAATTTGAACAACCAGATAAATTTGAACAATCCAGAAAAATTCTCTGGTCCAAACCATTGCAAGGTTTATGTTCTTAAATCTGTTGTTTAATTAATAGTTGGGGTTGATTTATTCAAATGGTTGTTGTTGTTGAAGGCAAAGAAAATGGTAAACAAATCAAAATTTTTTTAAAGTAAACCAGAGAGAATTTTTTTAGTTTGGAGAGAATTTCTCTGGTTTGAACCAGAGAAATTCAAAGCTAGATGGTTGTTGTTGTTGTTGAAGGCAGAGAAAATGATAAGGAATTTCTCTGGATATCTACAAAGCTGTGTCCTCATGGGAATTGAGGTCATCAGAGCATCCTCTCAGGCATCCTCTTGCCGTCGTCGAATGAGGAATCGTCCACCATAGCAACAAGCTTGAATGTGTTTTGGTTCATCGTCAAATCGATGTCAGTTAGGGTTGAATAGGAGTGCGAGGCATTTCTGAAATCAAATTTGGAATTGGCGGTGGTGGTTGAAGCTGTGGCGTTGAGAGGGCGGTGAGTTTGGGGATCGATGCCCCGAACGATGAGCTCTCGCTTGATGTGAGTGTTCCAGTAGTTCTTGATCTTGTTGTCGGTTCTACCTGGTAATCTTCTAGCTATCAATGACTATCTAAAAAAACAAATTCAACAAAATCAACAATTGTAGTTTCAAAATTTGGATTTCCTTTTTGGATTCAGTTTGATTGCCGAGAAAACAAATTCACAGCTGCCAAGCAACCAATTCAAAAAGTTGTCATGATTTCTTTTTTTTCAGATTTGAAACAAAAGCTGATGGAAAGTAATTAAAAATGAAATTGAAGGAGAGAGAGAAATAGTATACTTGTTTCTGAGCAAGCTGTGAAGTTTAATAATGAATTCGTCTTCTTGTTCAATGAAATTCCCTCTCTTGAGGTGGGACGAAGATAGTTAATCCATCGGAGTCTGCAACTCTTGCCACTGCAAAGCAAGCCTGAGTCAAATTTCTCTCACATATGTTTAGAGACCTTAGACATCAAAAAATAATATTGTGGATCTCTTCTATTACTAAAAGTGGGAGAGGGACCTTAGACTAATTTTTCCTAAATATATTTAAAAAGTATAATATTTATAAAAAAAATCTTCAAGAAATTCACTAAATATAAAAAATACAAAAAATAAAAAATAAAAATTCAGTATATTTTTTATATTTATGCGTATTTATTAATTTTTTAAAATATTTTTTCACAAATATTTTACTATTTAAATACATCTAAGTAAGGTACATTTAAAAAAGTAAAAAATTACTTAAAATTTTAAAAATATTCACTAAAAATTAAAAAAAATATAAAAAATAAAAAACTTAATTTTTAAAAAATTAAAATAAAATACACTGAAAAATATTTGAAATCCTACGAAGGAGGACCCATTCGTATCCTATTGTTCAGCGAGTCCAAAATTCCAAAAACAAAAGATAAGAGCCCATTCCTTTACCCTATAAGGGCATGTTTGATTGGAAGGATTAAAGTATGAGATTAGGATTATTAATCCGTGGGCCCAACCATCCTATGTTTGTTTTGAAATTTGGTTTAGGACTATTAATCCAATGGATAATTAATCCAACAAATTTGTAGGATAATTAGTAATGGGGTAGGGGTGGGATAGTTAATACCACACTAATTTGATAGGATTATTAATACCTCACTATTAGTATTGTGAATCAAACATAGCCTAAAGGAAATAATTATGTTTCATTACCATATTGTCCGGTGTTATAAGGGCTCAATCTTTTACCCTACAAGGAAATAATATTATGACTTTTTATGATATGATATTGTTTAGTGTTATAAGGGCTCATTCTTTTACCCTATAAGGAGATAATATTATGACTTTCCATGACATGATATTGTTTGGTGTTATAAGGGCTCATTCTTTTACCCTACAAGGAAATAATATTATGACTTTGATATGATATTGTTTGGTATTATAATGTTTAAGAATTAATTATTTTAATTAATTTTAATTTATAAAAAGATATAAAAATAAAAGAGGTGATATAATAATTTATAGTAATTTTTTAATTTTTTAACTACAAACTCAAATTAGAAAAGTGAAATTTTTAATTTTTGTTTTTTAATTATCAATTTTTAACTTAAAATACCCTGTATCAAAATATTAAGGAGTGGTTTGAGATATTCTAAATATATATATTTTTTGACTTTTTATAAAAAAATAAAAAAAATATTAATAAATATTAATTGATATGACTCAATTAATTTTTTATATGTTAAAAAAATACATTTTTTTACAACTACAAGTATTAGCTTCAACTGCACACGCTACTTTGGAGTTGTTGATGCAAGTTATACAATTGTTTATAATTTTATTTTTTTTATATTTTAAAAATTTGTATAAGATACAACCCCTATTTATAATTTATTTGGTAGCATTATAAATTGAAACTAAAAATTAAAAATACCTCTTTTCAAAAATAGCATTATAAATTGAAAAATATATTATGACTTTAAATAATTTATTAAATATATTATGATTTTAAATAATTTATTAAATTTTTTTTATCAAATTTCTGTGTGAACTCAATAAATCTCAAATCTATATATAGCAGATTTAGTAAAAAATTTAATAGATTTTTAAAATGTCTAAACATAACAATTATAAATAATTATAAATTCTACCAAATCGTCTGTAAATTTACAAAAAAAAAAAAAAAAAAACTCTGCTCTCTCTGTCTCTCTCTCTCTCTCTCTCTCTCTCTCTCTCTGCGTCTTTGTGCTTTCTCTTCTTCACTCTGAATCAGAGTGAAACAGAGTTGTTACCGGTTAGAGCTTTGCCAAGTAAGAACCTCCCCAATTTGATTGCTTTAATTTGATTCAAACGCCTTTCATTTTCCGTCTAGCTCAATTTACTTCGCTTTTTTTTTTTTTTTTTTGGGTCTGTTTGATCCTATGTTGTTATTGTCGTTGTTGTTTAACCCATTGGCATGAGCTAAAAATCTTGGTCCCTTGTTTGCTTTGCTCAATCAATAATCAGGTTTCACCTTTCTATGTGTTTGCAGATTTGTCTGAAAGAAGATTACCATGAGTTCATCAACAGAGAGATATTCAGATTCGATAAACCCTCGAGGTTCTATTTGGGTTTTTTTTTTTCAAATCTTTATCTTTCTTGTAATGATCAATGATGTTTGATTATTTAAGTCCATACACGATAGCCACACTTTTCTTCTCATTGATCAGCTTTCTTGAGATACCATCTCCAATTCTTAGTTATACTTTTACTTAAATTCAGTAAAAAGCTTCATTTGATATGAATCACTCCGATGGATAAACTCAAATTTGAGTAAAATTGTTCAGTGTCAAGTTCGAGTTGGAGTAAAGGAGATTAGTGAAAAGTTTGGGTAAAAGTGCCCAAATGTGAAGTTTGGATTGGATAAAAATTCAAGTAAAGGAAGTGGATCTCTCTTGATTTGAGTAAAAATTAATTTGGTATAAGTTTGAATAAAGAAGTGGAAAGGAGATTAGTTGAAAGTTTGAGTAAAAGTGCCCAAGGGTCAGATTTGGATTGGATAAAAACGTGAGTAAGAAAATGGATCTCTCTCTATTTGATTAAAAATTTGAGTAAAACTTAGGGAAATTCTAATATACACACCCTTCAAAGGGGTGTACCATATGCACCCCATTTTTTTTCTGTAGTTATGACCAATTTTCTTCTTTAGTTATGACATTATTTTAGTTATGACTCCTGAGATCTTCAGTTATGCCTCATATTGTGTTCGGTCATGACATTTTTTTTTCTTTTTTAGTTATGACTCAGAAAATATGAAGTTATGCCATTTTATTCTTTAGTTATAAGGTGCATATGGTGCACACCCTCCCATAAAACTTAATTTGGTATAAAGTTCGAGTAATAATGGAGTGGAGGCAGTTTTAATAGCTTTTTACTCAAATTAAGTTTGAGTCAAGATTTGAGCATGGGTGGTCTTACATTTGTGGCCTTTCAGTTTATTATCTCTTTTCTCAGTTATCATGCTAAATTTCTTCCAGATGTTTGCATTGTTGGAGTTGCACGGACGCCAATGGCTGGCTTCCTTGGTTCCCTTTCATCTTTATCGGCTACCCAGCTTGGTTCTATAGCTATTGCAAGTAAGATTGTCCAATTGGGACTCTCTACCTTGTCTCCTTTTTGAGGACCAGCTCTTGATTATGTTGCTTGAATTTTAATCCCCCTAGTAATATTGTAGGTGCTCTTAAAAGGGCAAATGTTGATCCATCTATGGTGGAAGAGGTTTTCTTCGGAAATGTGCTCAGTGCAAATTTAGGTCAAGCTCCTGCTAGACAGGCTGCCTTAGGGGCAGGTCTACCTAATACAGTGATTTGTACTACCATCAACAAAGTCTGTTCATCGGGAATGAAAGGTGGGTTTTCTATCCATAGCAATTTGTGTTAATTTTCATTTCATTTTATGTTATTGCTAGGTAGGTATAAATTTTACTAGAACGAACAATGCACAATGCACAATGCACAATTCAAAATATGAGACAATTTACCTTGGTATGTTGCAGGAGGGTTCAACCAAATGAGAAACCCCTCAACCAATATATGGAACAATGAAGCAACTCTATTTGCTGCCTCCTGCTAAACACTAGCTGAAACTCCAAACATTCCTTAATGAAAACACTATCCATCTCCTGCCTCACTCTTATCCATCTCAATAACAGGTCAAGCATGACCTTTGCCGGCCCATTGTATTGAGTTCCCTAGTTCTCACAATTCTGCTTGTCTATTCTGTGTATCTTGGAAAAGGCTACCATGTGCACCCTTTTTGAGGTGCATATGATATGAACCTTATACAAAAATTAATAAAAATATAACCTTTACTACAAAAAGTATAACTAACTTTTTGCTCATCACAAAAAGTATTAACTCTCAACACAAAAACCACAAGTTTGCCATTCATAATTTTAGGAGGTGTATACTGTAAGTTCGTCATTCATAACTTTCATCACAAAAATCGTAACTTACACCACAAAAATTAGTAACTTTCACAACAAAAATCATACCTTTTCTTATGATGTGCATGTTTTTAGAAAACTTTTCTTATGATGTGCATCTTTTTAGGGGGTGCACATTGTAACATTTCCTTAGTATCTTTGATTCCCTTGAAGCCCCCAAATCAAATGTCCATACCAATATCTCGTACAGTGAAACTTGTCTCGATTACTTCTCACATAGTAGTTTGATCCAAGGACATAGGATTTAGTGATTCTCAGTTTCTCATAGCTTGAAATCAAATATGTCTGGTAAATCTACTCCCAAATAGTAAATGATCATGAAACATTAATTGTGTTCGATGAAAAACACACGGCACTCTATGAATCATTTGTTTGGCAACTTTTCGATATTGAATAGATACAAAATGTTTATTTGCTAACCAAAGTAGATGTTAAAGTTGAAGAATTGATTTGGGTGACCACAACAAATGGGATGAAATGACAGTGGGCAACATCTCTAAAGTAGTTACCCATGCCCACTGATAAGTAATGCCTATTGTATATGTTATCAGGAGTAGAAATCCAATTAACTCTATCTCCTCTATCCATGTAAGGAGGTGGAATGCCAACCTACTTGAGCTTGCTAAAGTATTGAGTTTTCTGGAGGCCACATGAAGGGTTTCATTTCTGATCAATATAACATGAAAAAACGTAGTGATATATTTTCTCTTTTTCATCCCAGCAACAATGCTTGCAGCACAGACTATTGAATTGGGAGTCAATGATATTGTTGTGGCTGGTGGCATGGAAAGCATGTCTAATGCTCCTAAATATCTAGCTGAAGCAAGGTTTGGCATCTGATTTTTTCTTTGTTACTTTTTTATTTTTTATTTTTTTGTCAAGACTGCTGAAGTAGTATTCAAGCTGGAGATCTAAGTTGAGTCAAAATTGAAGTGGTTATGCACATCTTGGCCCTTCAATGGACATGTCAATCAATTCATTATTTTGGAGAATCTTTTCGGTTGCGTTGTTAATAGATAGTGAGCCCCAATGTAAACATTGTCAAGAACATGGTAGTCTTAAAAACGTTCTATTGGTCAGGAAAGTCACTTGGTATATTACTATGGGGGTACTGCAGGCTGTGCATGTGGGTCTTACTTAATGGAACTTTGTCCATTCTGCTTGCAAGTTTGTTTAATGTTCCAAACTACGTAAAGTGACAGTAGTTATTCAATTTGGTTAGGATTGTTCTAATTGGCATTGTGTTTTTCTTGCTTTTAGAGACGGTAACTGCTCCGACACAAAACTGATTGTCAAACAAAGTCATTTGTTGGCTTTGTATAACGGAATAGATGTATGTTGGTGTGTGTGTGTTTGTTGTCCATTGTAACAAAAAATGTAGTGCTGGTTCAGATGGTTGATTTCTTCTTTTAGCTTTCTCTAGCCTATTTGTTTAAATGGGGAGTTCAATTCCATTCTCCTAATAGATCAACTACAATGTTGACACTGACTACAATGAAGTGATGGTTCATGAGAGCTTTATTCCATGAAATTGTAGAATGATTTTCTATTCTTTACAATGAGCTGTTCCTACGAAGACAGCTGAACTGTTCAAAGATTGTGAAACATCCTAATGTGACTGAAATATATGATGCTGTCAAACCATGATACCAATGGTTCCTCTTTTATGTTTTGATGAGAAGTAACCATTAAAGCTGTGCTGATTCCGTCCACATTAACAGAAAGGGATCTCGGCTTGGACATGATACTATCATTGATGGCATGCTGAAAGATGGGCTATGGGATGTTTACAATGATTTTGGAATGGGAGTATGTGCAGAGTTATGCGCTGATAAATATACCATTACAAGAGAAGAGCAGGTAGTATTCTTCGCCCATCTTTCTGGTTTAAAGTTTCCCTTGAATGATTTTGTTCATCTCAATTCATGAGTTGCTATGTTTAGCAGTCTTCAAATCCATTGTGCAAATGGAAACATTTGAAAAACAAGAAATCATCCAGAAAAAAAGGACAAATTGGTTGCATTGATCAAGCTATTGCTATCACTCATATTCATTCCACTTGGATGTTTCTTCTTTGCTATATCTGGTTTTCTTTTCTAGGATGCTTATGCTATTCAAAGCTTTCATCGTGGAATTGCTGCACAAAGAAGTGGTGCCTTTGCATGGGAAATAGTTCCAGTGAGACTCCTAGTTTATACTCAATTTGCAAAAAATTGCTGTTTGTAATGTCATTATCTTTGTTCAAAAAATGCCTTTATACATGCAGGTTACTTTATCTGGGGGAAGGGGGAAAGCAGCTACAATTGTTGATAGAGATGAAAGTTTAGGAAAGGTAAATAGCATAATTGGGCATGGGGATTGATTTGTATAAGTTATGTCTTCAATGATGATTTTATGAAGATTCAATTTCTTCTGCTCTATTTGGTGTCTAATACTGGATCAAAAAGTTCTAAAAAACCCCATACCTGCTGACAATGGAAACATAATAAAGTTAATTTCTTTTTTCTGTTCACCCTGACTGTTTTACTTCCCCCTACCACTTTTCTTTTTTTGTTCTTTTCTTTTTACAATCATTTTACAAATTAAGCTGCATGCATTTTTTGTGCCATTGAAATTGTGCATCTAATTTGAGATCAGGGGAAGCCACCCCTTCGCAAGAATGGGTATTTTAACTTTGTTCCTCTAATTCAATTATCGGGTGAATCTAATTGTTTGCACATAAGCTAAAATGGCTCTGGCTATTTGTTTAAGTGGTCTGGTATTCTGAATGCGCAAAATAGAGGGAATGAATCTAATTTCAGTACAGCCAAACAAAGGCATGAGTTTGGATTGTTAAATGCCATCTCCTTGCTTTACAGTGGTTTCTATGCCTGCATTACTGTTGTATTACTATTTTTCTTTTGCATTTGTATCTTGTTAGTTTGATGCTGAGAAACTAAGGAAGCTTCGACCAAGTTTCAAGGAGAAAGGAGGTTCTGTTACAGCTGGCAATGCTTCTATCATAAGGTTCTGTGTGTGGGTGTGTGGGTGTTCTAAAAACTCAACCAAACAGAGAACATGAATACAATACATAGTTATGTTATCATACGAGAAAATGGACACTTCATCTTCTTCATTTTCTTGATTTTCACTTCGCTAGTGATGTTGCTGTTTTCATGGACAGTGATGGGGCAGCTGCATTTGTGTTAGTGAGTGGTAAAAAAGCACTTGAACATGGATTACAAGTGATTGCGAAGATCAGAGGGTTTGCTGATGCTGCTCAGGTAATGTACCAAACCAAACCAAGCCTTAAGTCCCATCAAATGAGGTCGGTTACATGAATCCTTCTTTTTCACGTGGTCCTATCAAAGGTCATTTCGTTAGTCAAATTAAGTAGATCCATATCTCAATTTATAACGCTAGTCAATATTAATCTAGGCTTATCCCGTCCCCTAATTCTTCTATCTACTGTTACAACATCACATCTCTTTACTACTGCCTCTATTGGTCTCCGTTGAATATGACCAAACCATCTTAATTGATTCTCTCTCAACTTATCTTCTATCGGTGCTACTCCTACCCATTCCTGAATACACTCATTCCTAATTCTGTTTTGTCTAGTTTTGCCACACATCCACCTTAGCAGCCTTATCTCAGCCACACTCATCTTATCTACACGTTGTTTCTTGGTTGACTAACACTTTGTCCCATACAATATCGCTGGTTTAATAGCCGTTCTATAGAACTTACCTTTTAGTCTAGTGGACATTTGTTTATCGCACAGTATCCCATACGCACTTCTTCACGTACACCATCTCGCCTTAATCTTATGGGCCACATTCGCATCAATCTTCCCGCTGTTGTGATAATCGACCCTAAATAACAAAAATGTTCACTCTTAGACAATTCTTGGTTCTCAATCTTCACTTCTCCGCTGCTTTCATTGTTATTGTTACTAAATTTATACTCCATGTACTCTGTCTGAGTTCTACTTATCCGGAATCCTTTAGATTTAAGAGTTTTTCTCCAAATCTCTAACTTTGTGTTAACTCCTCTAGTCTCATCCACTAGTAAAATATCGTCTGCAAAAAGTATACACCATGGCACGTCATCTTGAATATTTCTCGTCAACTCATCCATAACAAAAGCAAAAAGATAAGCACTTAAGGTAGATCCTTGGTGTAACCCTACAGTGATAGGAAATTCATTTCTCTCCAGCAGGCGATCTAATAGTGGTCACCACCACTCTTCATACATGTCCCTAATTACATCAATGTAACCTTTTGTCACCCCTTTCTTCTCTAACACCCACCATATTGTATTCCGAGGCACTCTATCATATGCTTTCTCAAGGTCGATAAACACCATATGAATGTCTCTTTTCTTTTCTCTGTACTTTTCTATTACTCTCCTCAAAAGATATATCGCTTCATATTACTTTTGTGTTGTGACATGATTGGCTGGGCAGGCACCTGAATGGTTTACAACTGCTCCAGCACTTGCAATACCAAAAGCTATTTCAAATGCTGGTTTGAAGGCATCCCAAATCGACTACTATGAAATAAATGAAGCATTTTCTGTAAGAATTTGTTATTTACATTTTGCTACTGACAATAGCTTGTTTAATAAGCGGGATTAGTCTTTTCACACCTTCTCTCTGCAGGTTGTGGCTCTTGCCAATCAAAGGTTACTTGGTCTTAGTCCTGTAAGTCTTCTACAGCCTTTCTGCCACTTTTTTATTACTCAATATGACCTTTTTTTGGAATGATTCATGGAATCAGTGGTTTCTAGTTTTTATTTATTTTTTTAAAAAAAGAAATTAGTTTCAGTAAGTTGTGCGATTCTGCTTTGCTTCATTTTATGTTCTGTTCTTATGGGTACAGCAAAAGTTGAATGTGCATGGTGGAGCTGTATCTTTGGGACATCCACTTGGTTGCAGTGGTGCTCGTATCTTGGTCACATTGTTAGGGGTAACTTAAATGGGCTTCTAATTTGTGTTTTCTTACCTGATTTTTTCCCATGCCATATCTATTTTTTCTTTCATCTTTTTATTTTCTATCGACCCCATTGTCTCACCCAATTCTGTTTAGCTCTCTTTCTCTCTCTCTCTCTCTCTCTCTATATATATATATATATATGTTACTGTAAGGACACATGCAATTATAATGGCACCCTGCTGGTTGTTTGTTTTGCTGAGGCTTAGTTGAGCTGTAACGCTGCTACAGGTCCTGAGACATAAGAATGGGAAGTTTGGGGTTGCTGGAATCTGCAATGGGGGAGGAGGAGCTTCTGCTCTTGTTCTAGAGCTCACGTAAGTCTTTTCAAACTTACTAAGGTTGAGTAGCTCACTAAAAAAAAAAATTCAGGGTTTTGTGGAACTTCTCTTTTGGTGTTGCTAATGAGTTCCTGATCTTAATGGCACACAAACTTAGTCGAAGCGATTGCTAGCTAATTTGAAACCAGTTCCATACTAGCAAATGAAATTCCTAAGTTGCGCTCTCGAAAAGTATAAACAATATGAGCCGGTCAGACTGTGGGTCCATTGATTTATAAAATTCATCTAAAAAAAATCAATAATTTATTTTTAAAATCATACATGTCATCTATTTATTTGCAAACAAATGTGACGAACTATGATTATCGGATCAGTCTTTTTTTTCTTTTTTCTTTTTTCTTTTTCTTTTTCATTAATGATCTACATACATGAGTCTAAAAAAAATGAACTAACCAGATCATTAAAGTTTGTCCTTGCCCATAGGACCCAAACTAAACTCTGTCTTTTCTCCCAATTGGAGAGACGTTGGACCTCTTTTACTTTAATTGGTGGGAATACCTTAAATAGCTTTCCTGTCATTGGCCCTTAGCTAAAAAATGTGATCTTGCAGAGGGTCAAATTCTCCATTTCTTGGTCTTAGTACTAAACAAGGCTCGTGCCACAGTATCAATTGAATGGCCTAAAGATGGGATCATCATGGATTAACTATTGAATCCAATTGAGATTTCCAACAGCTGAGAGAGCTTTGAGATATTAGAAACACTTATTTAGTGTAAATCACAATTGATTTGTCTGGTGACTACTATGGATTAGTTTAAATTTCCATCATTTTGAAAGAACTTTGCATGTTGCAGGTCAAATGTGAAGGTGCCCCGTTCCATGTTATGAAAGTGACACTCTTCTGTTATGTTGGCTTACCTGCTAGCTGTCGTGTAACCTTCTCCCTGTTGTACAACTTAATTATTATTATTTTTCTTCAATAAAAGTAATGTCTCAAATGTTATTAATAAATATATATATGCTGGTCTCTGTTCACATATTCATCTACCTAATTTGTTGTCTTTTTCTTTCTACATCTTCTTGTTTCAGCCTCTGTATTCTGTGAAGTACTATTTTCACAGCAGTATCTAATTTCCATATGTCCAAGTAGATGAGATTTCTCCTTGATGCACATCTCTAGAATGATTTACAGGGACTGCAAGTTCATTATAGAAAGAGAGAATATAATCTAAACATATGATTTGCACGACCTAGATTGCAGTTGCCATAAATGACTTGGAAGAACGTAACTTATTCAATCAGTTTTTTCTGCCCATTCTATTCCATGGTCTCTCAGGTACATATAAATTTCTTGCACCTGATATTTCCCTATTCCAAGGTGTTATTCCGGCATAAAATTGTATTGCTAATAGTATGCTTGAGGGCAGAATAATTAAATATATAGTGTATGATGCGTTAAGACTTGATTTCTAAAGTTTGCTCATCTAAAAATTATATTTGTATTAGGATTGCACTAAATCCACAATTTTATAGAGGCAATATATTCGCATTAATTAGAAATAAGATAGTTTCTTTGTTCAAAATGTTACATAACAAGTATAGTTTTAGTGAAACCTTTGCTTCATGGAGGTAGTAAGGCTGCTATATGAGCAAGGATAGCTATAACAACCGATTGGTACACGATGGAGGTGGGCATACGACCCTTGTCCTTTCGGAAGAAGAGGCCTTCATATACCGGCAGGTTGACGAGAACCACCAACCCACATAGCATTGTTTGTAGTGCCAATAGATCCAAAACCCTAGTTTTTGAATCCATGATAACCATCTTTAGGGCACCAACAAAGCTGAATAGGTTGGCCAGTGAGAGTGTTGCCAAAATATTGAACATTGGTGATGGGGCACCATACTCCATGACTTCCTTTTCATATCTCAGGGATATGTCCTCCTCGGCCACCTTTGCTGTGACTACAAAACCCGACTTTGAAAACCCAAATACCTCGAAGATGTTATCGGTAAATCCAAAGAAGTAGGAAGTTGTTCTTTTGAATAGCCACATCCTCTGGTCATTCCACCATGCTTGAAATGTGCCCCCACACCATAGAAACTCGCCTAAGCTGTATCCGTATTTCGCAAGGATGACATATGCAAAAGGCAGGACCCAGGGACTTGATAACTGCAGACAGAAGATGATTAGTTTCTTATTAGTTAGGGCCCGTTTGATAATGTTTATGCCTACAATTTATGTTTATGTTTACAAGAATTTTGAAACTTGTAAATAAAAATTCGTTTCGCATTTATATTCAATTTCAAAATACTGCACAGTTTACAAAATTTATGTAACCCAAACAAAAAGTTGGTATCACTTGTTTATAAAATAAATTTTTATTCATTCTTTCCTCTCCCACTTCTTTGGCTACCACCCCCGTGTCTGGCCACTGTTGTTGGCGACCTCCTTTGGCCACTTCTGGCCATCGTTGCCGCCGTTCTCCTCTGGCCATTGTTACTGCTAAACTCCTCCAGAATCCATCTCTGATCACCTCCTCCTGCCACTAACAATCGCCATCTTTCGTAGTTGGCCATTTCCTTTGGCAGTCAGTTACCACCTCCGGCCACCCTTGTCTAACTTGTTTTAAAAACTAGTTATTAAACATGTACCAGACTTCTGTTCTTACCAAAAAATAAATATAAACATGTTTAATGTTTACTGTACACAAAAAATAGTAAATTATAAACATTACCAAACGGCATTTAACAACATTTTGATAATTTGAGATCCATGGGAACAAGTTTTGGAAATTTGATCTCGGTCCATACCTTTGGGAACAAGGAGATGCCTCTGTTGATACAAAGAGATGGGACAGTGACATAGTATAGAGTAGCCAAGCTGCAAGGAGCCCATAGAAGGTAGCAACAGTATGAAATTTGAAGTTGTAGGGGGATCTTTCCATGCCCATAAACAAAAGGGCAGTATTTGGAGAGGAAAATCTGAAAATCACCTTCTGACCATCTCTTGTTTTGGACTAGTGCCTGCAACAGGGTTGTGGGACCTACTCCTAAAAACCCTTTCCTTTCTGGGTTGAAATACACTGATCTCCAACCTCTGCATTGTATCGCTAGTCCTGTAATCACATCTTCTACTGGACACCCATACTTAAGCCCCATCTGCAGATCAACATATCTATGAGCTTGTATGATGTACATAATTATAAATGTCTGTCTTTGTGTGTATGTAGGGGGGGGGGAGAGAGAGAGAGAGAGACCTCCTTTCCCCATTGAGTGTTTTCTTCATAGCTGCAACTTGCAAGAACTTTGCATGTTTCTTCAAGCACATGTGTGCTTTCTTCTACCTTTCTGTCGTTCTTCACCATCCAGTCAGTTTTGTAATCTTTTTTGTACTTCATCCCAGAGAGAGCTTCTCTCCTGTGAAAGCACCCAGTACCGATATAAAGTGGCCCTCCATTAGCATCGAAACCTGCAAGCTCCACCTTCCATCACCCCCCAAGTTCCTCAATGTTAGCATTAGACGGAGTACTACCACTCCATTTGTTTGTGTATAACATTTTTTGCATTTTCTAGCGGGAAAATGAAAATCAATAAAAATATTTTGGTGGTCAAAGGAAAACAAGCTTATTTGAGTGTAAAGGTGAAAAACATTTTTCACACTAAAGTTTCACCACCACCACCGCCCTACCACCGTTGCCACCGCCATCACCACCACCACCACCTCATTGCGTGCCCCAATCAACTCACTACCACTATCACTACCATCACCACCTCTTGTACCCCCACCACCCCATTATAGGCCCCAATTGACTTTCTTTTAAAGCTAGGAAGTACCAATTTGAATGAAATATAGGTAGTTTGAAGGAAAGTATGTGATGAAAAGAAAGGTGGAAAAAACATAATTAAAATTTTACTAATGTTGCCGTGACCTTCATCATCACAACCACCCCACTGCATGCTCCGATCGGCTTTCTTTCAAGGCAATGAAGTGACAATTTAAATGAAATATAATTAGGTTGAAGAGAAGCATGTGACGAGTGGAAAGGTGAAAAATATTTTCAAATTAAAATTTTATCAATGCCACTATCCTACCATCACCACCACCACCACCACCACCATCCTACTAATACTATTGTCGGTGCCGCCACCACCACCACCCTCACCATGTGCCCCACCACTGCTACTATAACGACCACTGGCACATTAATTTTAAGATTACAATTGAAAATATAAAATATATATATATATTTTCCGTAAGAAAAATCCAATTTTCGGCCTAATCAAACGTATGAATGCTACATTTTCTCTATGTGTAGAGGGTTTTGTAAATGCTTACTCACCGCACTAATAACTCTCAAGGAACTGCTATAAACATCATTCTTGGTGAGGTTGTCGAAGGTCTGTGGAAACTGTACAAATGCGATCTGGTGACCCTGCTCTTCATCCATTAGAAAGCACAGTGCATCTCGCACTGACTCCGAATTGTTCGAATACATGTCACAATCCACGTTCAGAATTACCGGTCCGTTGCTTATCCTCGATGACACTCTTATCTACTCAAATATCATTATTAGATCATGATATAACAAACCACAATTTTGAGAATTGTATGCGGTATACATTACATTAACAATCTGTTTAGTTCACTGGAATAAAATAATTATTTTATCATAATGTCTATGTTTGAGGTTTGATCTCTAATGTACACCTTCTATTACATTTTAGTTCTTGACTTTTGTGCCATTCAAAATCAATATTGGGAGAGGCAGTATTTTTTAAATTTTAGACGAGCCTTAATAATATCAAAAACACTATATACACGAGCATGGTTTCTAAAGTAAGAATTTTGTTGTATTTTGGCTATCAAAATGTTTGTTCACAAAATATGTGCTTTGTTACATTTTGTTCCTCAAATCTTTAATTTTATTGAATATATATATATATGTTTTTTTTTTTTTTTAAGGTAAAGGAGCAATTAAATAAAAAAATTTTAGTAAAAAGTTCTTCACCATCACAGAGTGACCCCCACAACTAGGCAAAGTAAGGTTTCATCCTCATAGCTGATATATTTGCGAAAAATAAAAGATTGGGGACAGATCGCTTACATTAGAAATCAGTAGTGTAATTAACCCAAATAATCTATACTCTTTATATAAAGTGCACAACTAAGAACATGAAATTTGTCACAACTTTTATCTTTTTAAATTTATCTTTATGTAATTATCAAAATATCATTTTCAGATCTAATTACTTCAAGCTTAATAACGGTCATGATTTGTCTAATTACTTTATATATACGCCTAGTGTGTGCTTACACTTCTTGTAATCGAGACAATTATATATATGTATGTATGTGTAAGATGTACATATATATAGAGGTAGCTTACAAGGGAATTGAGGGCTCCTGCTTTGAAGTTGTGGTGATATTGGGGTCTCTTCTCACGTGCCAAGTACACCAGAGTTGGCATTGCTTCTTCTTCTTCTTCTTCTTTTTCTTCAATATCCACACCCCTACTACACTCCCTCCTTCCATCAATTAGTATCTACAAGTTTAATTAATTAATCACTAACAATTATATAATATATATATATATATATATATTTTTTTCCCCATTGTAGATTATGTGATGACACACAATAAACAAAAGCATTCATAGGTAATAAATAAATAAATAAATACTTGAATAATGGAGGGGTGGTCATGCTTGCTTGAAACCAAATCCCACTCTTGAAATCCTTTGTGCTCTTTTCTTATTTCTTCTGGGATTTGCCCCACCTTTGTAGTGCTAACTATCCGCTTCTTCATGTCTTCATATAATTTCTATCAAAATGAGAGAATACAATATTTATTATATGTCATATACGGATAATTAATTATTATATATTATGTATATAAATATTTAATTAAAAGTCAATAACAAACGTAATGCAAAACTAATATTTAAATATGTATAAACTTATATATATATATATATATATACACATATTTTTTCCCATGTGTCTAAACAATATACATGTGTTTCCAAGTAAAAGATATCAAAGTTTAGAAATTTAAAAATAATAAGCCATATTTAGACGTGTGTTATAAAGTATCAATGAATATTGCATCGTATTGGTATCCAACAAGATAAATATCTTTTTCAAAGTGTCTGCCCTTCTTAATTAATTGAACAAGAAAAGAAATAATCTTAACTACCATCCCTTGTGTATGCAGTGGTATAAGTGGTCAGTAGTAAGAGATTGCTACACATCTTGTTTTACATCCAAAACTCTGGGGACCTCGACTTATTATTATTATTATTATTAGTCAATAGGTGTGTTTGAGAGGGATGTTCTTCTGTTGGGCATTGGTTGGGTCTGTATAGATGGGTCATTACACACATATTTCTTTCATATATGTGGGTCACTCCATCACAGTTTGTTTGATATCTGATGAAATGAGAAAAAAAAAAAAAAAATGGTAGTGATTTTTTATTTGGATGAGAAAAGAAAAGAAAAGAAAAAAAATTGTTTTTTTATCATTATTATAGTTAGATGAGTAAGAAGACAAAGCATGTGAAATAGGGGTGTGAGTGAGAGCTCTCTTTCATTTTACTACTAATATCAATTTGATTTCTCATCAAATCTCACTTTTTTGGTGAAAAAGAAAGTAACATATATTATAAAAGAATTTTCTCTTTTACCATTTCTCACTACATTTCTTACCTAATTTATAAATCAAACATGACATGGGTAGGCCCACAAGGCATACGGCCCACAGTAAACCACCCCAAACCCATCGCTTGGGACCAATGGCATAACCCGGTTGGCAAAGCCCAGGACAGCTGGAGGCCATCTAGACATGAAGGGCCAATGGCATTTGGGCACATGGCAGGTGGGACACGGGCCACATCAGCAGACAAAGATCTGCAGAGTTATTATCACAACACATCACCATTAATGCATCCCATCACAGCATTTATTACGACAACACCCCCCGCCGGAACAGAGCCTCCATCACCCTGAATAAGGTAAGCTACGGCACAGGCTTTCGGCGAAGGAAAGCACGTCACAAGAGACAGGAAAAATGATAACTAAAGAATATAAGCAAGGATAGGAGGACAAGAATAAGGTTAAGCTATCTCTCTCTCTCAATCCCTCTCTACACAGTTTTTCTCATACTCTACTCTACTAATTCTCACACCGGAGGGTTCACTGGGGGACTACCCCATTCCCCTCTAGGCTTGCATGCAGGTCACCTGACGGAGTCATCACCCTGAGCCGGAGTCTGAAGAGCCTGGACCGGTCCGACCCATCCACCCGGGACTCAGAACATTATCAAAACATAAGAGAGTTTTCTTTGTGAGCATTTTTTAAAAAAGTAAATCACTCAATCCAAACAGGGGCGGTGAGGCTATCAATTTGAACAAAAGTTGTTAAACTTCAGGAGTAAAGGGCCGTTTATTTTTAGAGTTAAGTTGGGTGAGATTAATTAGGAAATTATTAGGGTGGAGACTTTTAGTGAGCGAATTAATAAAAATTATATTTGTTTGTGTATTAGTGTGGTGATATTAGTTAATTGAGACTAAATATATGAAATTACATAAAAGTCCTGATTATATAAAATTTGTTATCTTTATAAAATGAAGGGTAAAATTGTCTTTTTCTCCTTCAATTCTCTCATCCCATTTGACTAAAATAACAATCTCACCTCCAGCATGGAATAGTTAAGACTACTAGTCCTAAGCCTTTTATTCTAACTAAATACAATTTTTGTAAAACTCATTTTTTTGATTCATTGTTTTTTTTATTGTTTTTTTGTTGATTCATATTTTTGTAAAACTCATGGCATTACTAATACACTCCCATCGTCGTTGGACTGAAACAAGCGGGCCCAAAGGGCCCAGGTTACATAATTTTTTTTTGTCTGTTTCGTTTTAGTCAGTAGAAGATAGCAAGATAGGACAATTTTGATCAAATTTCCCACACGATTCTCTGTGCCAATTGAAAAAGTAGACTGGTGTGTATTGTCTGTTTGGAGCCAAGTCTTTTTGACTAATATTCGGATTAGACAACAGTTGGCTCCATTTGATATGTCTTTTTACTAGTTGTCTGTTGTGGCTCTTGTGTTTTTCCCATAGCTAGCCGACACAATTTCATTGACTATTGCATACTAGTGAATATGATAGATTGACACTGATCTGATGCCTGGTTGCCAGAAATGATACTCTACATTTTGAAATATAATAATGCATTTTCGTTTCAAAAGATCAAAAATATAATGATTAAGGCCAAGTTTGGCTAACCAATAAAAGTGCACTTATTTCATCTTTTTATCTTTTTTGGGTCACATCAATCAACATCTCCTCTCTACTTTTTTCTAGAAAGCCGTCCATCACTAGTGGGACTACACGGCGATCAACCAAAAATCAAAAGAGGACATATGAATAATGCCTATGTAGTGGATGACAAAACAACTCCCCATAGACAAGGTGAAGTTAGCTCAAGGTAAATAGTTTTTCCAAATTGAAGTATTAAAAATGGGGCACTTTTTAATAAATTTATTTTTACCTACTTATATTTTATTTAATTTACATTAGTTTCTTATGTTTCAAGTAGTCTTATTGCTGACATTGTTACCAAAATACCTTTAATAATATTCACATTTATAGTGTGAATGTTCCGTGATGTGAATGTTCACATCGTCGATGTAAATGTTTACGCCATCAATGTGAATGTTCACACTGTCAATATGAACATTCACACGTCAATGTGAATATTCACATTGCAAAATATGAATGTTCACATCACCAAATTGCTAACCGTTCAAAAAATATTTGTAAGGATAGAAATGTCCATAAAATACCTTAAATATGAGAATTTGGATTTGGTAGATCAAATATCCAAATAATAGGACTTATTGGAATATAAGAATATCTTATGAACTAATTGACATACAAACACTTGAAAAAGAATTTTCTAATAAATCTATTATTTGGATAAATAAATAAAAATTTGCAATGTCGGGACAATTGGTGCACAATGGTAAATAAATATAAGAATTAAAAAATCTATAGGTAAATAAATAAATAAAAATTTGGGACAATTGGTGCACAATGGTGGCAGGAAAAGTTAATTACTCATTAAAAAAATATTATAATTTTAACAATTAATATTTATAATATTTATCATTATTTTGCAATGTTTTTTTTTTTTTTTCCTAACACCACGTGATATAGTTTTTCCGAAAAAATTTCACATCATCAAATATGTATCTTTGACTTTAGTCAAATAAGAAACAGAGTAGAGCAATCTCTCATGGGATACAAAAAGATCTCATCATTAGATTTTCATTATATAGATGATCTCTAATCCTCACTCAGATATTTTATTAAATTTGAATTTGACAAAAAATACTTACTTTTTAGGTTTCAACTATGTCATCAATCTCATATAAAATTAAGGTAAAATAAAAAATTTTAACAAATTAAGGGAGAATTTAACCTTTAACTGAACTTTTTAGTTTTGTTAGTTAAGAAAATGAGACCGATTGCATAATACGGTTTGATTTTATTGATTTTGTTGATTTTTTGTAGAGAAAGAATTTTTATAAAAATTTAAAAGATTTTATAAAAATTTGTATAATCTCTATTGAAAATAAATGAAAAAAAAAATTAATGAAAGTTCTACAAATACTTTTCTCTCTAATTGTTTTTACAAAATGTATATTATTAATTACTTATATTCTAATGTTCAAAGAATTAAAATAAAAAATATTTAAATATTTTGATCGGTTCAGTTTGCATTGTTATAAAAATAAACTGTAAGTTTTGAAAATAGAACGAAAATTAAAATCTCAGTTGATCTTAAATGGTTAGTTTGATTATGTCGATTTTTTTTACATCCCTACTTTTAATCTTAAAAAAACAAAGTTTGAGATTATTGCCCCAAAAAATTTAAGATTAAACTTATGACCCCCATATACTCGGAAAAAATTATTATAGGTAGCATTTGAGATTCAATAGTTAAGAATAAAATATTTGAGACACTAAATGCATAAGAGAAAAGAAAAGAGATTGAATGAGAAAAGGAAAGAGATTGAATGAGAATATGGAAAGATTGAATAATTCAAAAATAAAAATAAATAATTGAATAATATGTTCCATTCCTTGTGTTCTATGTTTTTCAGGATAAGTTTGAGAGAATCATTTCAGTTTGAATGCAAATATTCCTCATTTGTTTCCTCTCTGTCCTCGTTTTCTTCTTGGTCTTTCTCTGTGTCTATCTTCGTTCCTTACAAATTTAAGTTTTTTGAGTGTATATGTTTTTTTTTTCTTGGAGGGGGAGAGGGCGGGGGGAACCTTAATTAAAACGAAATCGTTTTAACAAACTCCAAAAAAATTGCAAAGGATGGACTGCAGAGGATCCAAATGCTGCTTATTGCTTAAACGGTTGCTGAGGCTCTTTCTTGTTTGTTTGGTCCTGTGTTCCAACTGCCTCGTTTGAATGAATGAATTAATAATAAGTGTTCGTGGTGGACTGATAGTTTGAATCAATAAATAAAAATAAGCCAATTTTCAAGTTAAAATTGTTTTAATCATGTCCAAACCATCCTGGTAGCACCTCAGCCAGAGACTTTTCGATCTCTATTAGATTGGGTAGAGTTTTCTTGACACACTATACTTTGATGTTGATATTGAAGTATAGATTAAAAATTCAAAATGACGACACTATTATAAATTTTTTAAGTTAGGTGAAGTTTTCTTGACACGCCACATTCTGCTAATGAATGTTGAATGAGAGTCACGGTATAAATTAAAAATGAATAATATTGAAGTGAAAGTGACTTTATAGATTAAAAATGACCATAATATTGAAGTGAGAGTGACTTAATATATTAAAAATTTTAAATGACGGAATTAATATGAATTTTTTAAGTTGGGCGGAGTTTTCTTGAGAGGCCACACTTTGCAAATGATGTTGACTTATAAGTTAAAAATTCAAAATAGTAATGAAATTATTAAGAATTTTTTAGGTTTCGTGTGAAATTTCCCCGACCTTCATTTATCTAATGAACCTCTCTCTAGTGGTTGTCGACCACAACACCAAATCTTCGGGCGGCCTTCTGGATTTAAAGTCTGAAATAAGAGAGAATATGTATAAACTTTTATATATATATATATATATATTTTTTTTTTTCCCCATGTGTTTAATTAATATACATGTGTTTCTAAGTAAAAGATATCAAAGTTTAGAAATTTAAAAATAATAAGCCATATTTAGACGTGTGTTATAAAGTATCAATGAATATTGCATCGTATTGGTATCCAACAAGATAAATATCTTTTTCAAAGTGTCTGCCCTTCTTAATTAATTGAACAAGAAAAGAAATAATCTTAACTACCATCCCTTGTGTATGCAGTGGTATAAGTGGTCAGTAGTAAGAGATTGCTACACATCTTGTTTTACATCCAAAACTCTGGGGACCTCGACTTATTATTATTATTATTATTAGTCAATAGGTGTGTTTGAGAGGGATGTTCTTCTGTTGGGCATTGGTTGGGTCTGTATAGATGGGTCATTACACACATATTTCTTTCATATATGTGGGTCACTCCATCACAGTTTGTTTGATATCTGAGATGAGAAAAAAAAGAAAAGAAAAAAAGAATGGTAGTGATTTTTTATTTGGATGAGAAAAGAAAAGAAAAGAATTTTTTTTTTTATTTTTTATCATTATTATAGTTAGATGAGTAAGAAGACAAAGCATGTGAAATAGGGGTGTGAGTGAGAGCTCTCTTTCATTTTACAACTAATATCAATTTGATTTCTCATCAAATCTCACTTTTTTGGTGAAAAAGAAAGTAACATATATTATAAAAGAATTTTCTCTTTTACCATTTCTCACTACATTTCTTACCTAATTTATAAATCAAACATAAGAGAGTTTTCTTTGTGAGCATTTTTTAAAAAAGTAAATCACTCAATCCAAACAGGGGCGGTGAGGCTATCAATTTGAACAAAAGTTGTTAAACTTCAGGAGTAAAGGGCCGTTTATTTTTAGAGTTAAGTTGGGTGAGATTAATTAGGAAATTATTAGGGTGGAGACTTTTAGTGAGCGAATTAATAAAAATTATATTTGTTTGTGTATTAGTGTGGTGATATTAGTTAATCGAGACTAAATATATGAAGTTACATAAAAGTCCTGATTATATAAAATTTGTTATCTTTATAAAATGAAGGGTAAAATTGTCTTTTTCTCCTTCAATTCTCTCATCCCATTTGACTAAAATAACAATCTCACCTCCAGCATGGAATAGTTAAGACTACTAGTCCTAAGCCTTTTATTCTAACTAAATACAATTTTTGTAAAACTCATTTTTTTGATTCATTGTTTTTTTTTTTTTTTTTTTGTTGATTCATATTTTTGTAAAACTCATGGCATTACTAATACACTCCCATCGTCGTTGGACTAAAACAAGCGGGCCCGAAGGGCCCAGGTTACATAATGTTTTTTTGTCTGTTTCGTTTTAGTCAGTAGAAGATACCAAGATAGGACAATTTTGATCAAATTTCCCACACGATTCTCTGTGCCAATTGAAAAAGTAGACTGGTGTGTGTTGTCTGTTTGGAGCCAAGTCTTTATGACTAATATTCGGATTAGACAACAGTTGGGCTCCATTTGATATGTCCTTTTACTAGTTGTCTGTTGTGGCTCTTGTGTTTTTCCCATAGCTAGCCGACACAATTTCATTGACTATTGCATACCGGTGAATATGATAGATTGACACTGATCTGATGCCTGGTTGCCAGAAATGATACTCTACATTTTGAAATATAATAATACATTTTCGTTTCAAAAGATCAAAAATATAATGATTAAATAGAGGATATTTTTTTCATAAATTTATTTTGACTTACTTATATTCAATTTAGTTCATATTATTTTTTTATTTTCTAATAAGTCCTATGAGTGATATAATTACTAAAATATTCCTAATAATATTTACATTCACAGTGTGAATATTCTGTGATATGAATATTCACTCCATCAATGTAAATATTAACATGTTAATGTGAACATTCACAAGTCAATGTGAATATTCATATTGTAAAATATGAATGTTCATATTATCAAATTGTTAACCGTTCAAATAATATTTGTAAGGGTAGAAATATCTATAAAATATTTTAAATGTAAAAATTAGGATTTGATAGATCAAATGTCTAAATAATAAGACTTATTAAACTACAAAAATATTTTATGGACTAATTAAAATATAAACACTTTGAATAGAATTTTCTAATAAATTTCCCATTAAATGAAGTGTTAACATGACAAATGGTAAAAAGTGAGTCATATACTCTTTGAAAATGTATTGTTACATAATTTATTTGAAAAAAGGAGCTTACATTTTATTAGATGTTTTGTAGTGTAATACAGAACATGTAACGTATTGAGTTTTTCCACACTACACATAACATAGTTTGATGGATGAGATACTTTTTCAAATAATTTGTTTTTTTCTTCCAATTGCTTCTTTTTAAGGAGCTAGCCAAAACAATATATCGAATCTTTAGATTTTAAGTATGAGTGTGTAAGGAAATTCATAGAACTAAATCAAAATGTTTGATATATAAACATAGAAATTTACAATTCATCTCAAAATTAGAATCAAGTTATGCGAGTCAGCTATGATTAAAAAGTTAAAGGAGAAATAAGAGTTAGCTACTTCCTTCAACTACTTAGGCTTTGTTTGGCAAGTGGTAATTTTAGTCAAAAAATTAAAAAAATTTTAAAAAAATTAAAAAGCTAACAACCTATACTAAAAAGTTAAAGATTTCATTTTCTTTATATTTTTTTTTACATCTTTTCGTAAAAAATCATAAAATTATTCCAAACATACTAATTTTTTTTATCTCATATTTTAGTCAAAAGTTAAAAAATTACTAAAATAACATATTTCCAAACAAGATTTTAAGATAGGTTGTTTTTCTACGGATGAAAATTAGTAGGAAACTTGTAGTTTCTTGTGTAATTTATGACTAGTTTATTGTCTTTGTTCTCTTGGTCTGATCGATGGTTTGTTTTCATTACTGTGTTGACTAGATTGTTTTTTCCTTGTGTCCACTGTCCATGGAATAGGATTGATTGGAATCTTTGGATTGTATCTTCAGCCTCATTGTATGCCTTTTTTAATAACTAGAAGACTATGCATATATATGTAATGTATGTAGACTTGACAGTTGTAACTATCATATATGAAAAAAATAAATAAATAAAAAAAATCAACTCCTTAATAGTTTATTAAAGTGAATTCGATGGTTTAATCTGGCTTGTGGGGCTTATCATTGACATCTCCCTGATAATCTATTTTATTCATTTCATAAAGATAATTGAGAAATGTTTTTTTCTCCGAATTCTCGCGCCTCGAATCCCCCTAATGCCCAAAACGACGTCGTTTTGGGCATTATTTTATTTTATTTTATTTTTTTCTTCTTCTTTTTCCATTTTCAGTCTGTGAACCAGAGAGGGAGAGGGAGAGAAAGAGAAGAGAGAAAGAGAGAGAGAGAGAGAAGAGAGGTCGTCGGTCGTCGGCCCAGCCGAGCTCGTCGCAGCCTCCGACCGCCGTCTCCGAGCTCGCAGCCCCGCTGAGCTCGTCGCAGTCTCCGACCGCCGCCTCTGGCCCCGCCTCCGCCTCTCCTCCCCCTGTGAGTATGCCCCCTCCAGTCCCCTCCTCCTCATCCTTCTTCCTCCTCCTCCTCATTTTTCCTTCTTCTGCTACATTCATTCTAAACCCCTTTACGCTTTATGTTATTCACTGGTCACGCTACGTAGCTTGAAAACGGGGAGCCCGAACGGCTCGTTTTTTTTTTTTTTTTTGCAGAAGAACGAAGATCTAGAAGAAGAAGGAAGAAAGGAGGAGGAGGAGGAGGAGGAGGAGAGGGCATAATATTCGGGAGAGGAGGAGGCGGAGGCGGGGCGACGGCAGTCGGAGGCTGCGGCGGGGCTGGGCTGGGCGACGATCGGCGGATCGGCGGCTGGGAGGGGCGACGATCGGCGGCTGGCCGGGGTGACGATCGTCTTCTCTCTCTCTCTTCCCCTCTACTTCTGTCTTTCTCTCCCTCTCCCTCTGCTTCTCTCTGCGTCTTCTCCCTCGAGCCATTCGGGGCAAAATGTTTCGAGCTACGAAACATTTCCCATAATTTGAGTATGAAAAAAAGTGTGAGATAACTTCAATATGGTTCAAACCAAAAAATCTAAAAATAAAATATAATAGATAATAAATTGATTGTTTACCCTCTCTTTCCCCAATATATATATAACATTATATGAATGGTTATTTGCATAAAAAATGATATTTTTTCGTATTTGGTTGTCATCTTAAAATTAATGGATTAGTGATTGTTAGTGGTGGAAGCGGTAATAGTGTGGCCCGGTCGATAAGATTTTAATTTAAAAAAGAAAAATCAACTTTCAAAATTGACCCAAATACATTGTTTTAGGGAAATATTTTCTATTAATTTTTATTTTTATTGTGTCAAAAGATAGAAAATATGGATTAATATTAAGTATCATAAAAAAAATATTATGAAAATTCTCCACCCTTAGATTACACACACAATAAAATAGTATACATTAATCAAAAAATAAAAATTCTTCATTTTATGATATCTCTTTCATGATGGCTGACATTATTAAAAAACACGGTATATGAAAATTACAAGAATCGGTGAAAGATGCCAAGTATATCACAGTGATCACAAAGCTTTATATGTACCTTGACGGAGGACCACTCTTCAGCCATGGTAGGATCATCCAATGCTTTGCATACTGTTTCAAAATAAGCTGCCGGAGACCGTGGTTCTATTTTGAATTTCTTGCAAAATGGCAGCCAGTACTTTGCGAAGCGAGAAGCCTCTAAGAGTGCGTAAAACATCAACTCTGACCCTCCATCATCAGAAAGATACACACTCAGCTTCTCCGGTGGATAATCGTATGCCATGACCGAAAACACTGTGTTGATCACCATTAATGGTGGCTCCACTGTATGATCGGCCGTGCACACAAATATGTCTACTTTGGGCAAAACCTTTTCATATCTGTTGGCAATTTACAGTCACAATGAGAAACATCTATGGACGGATACTTCAAATAGGGTAACGTATTTGTATCGGATATGATACTCTTTGGATACTTATAGATACAAATCGGATATTTAATTTTAAAGTATCATATTTCAAATCACGTATTAGTTGTTTTGCGAACTTAAAATTATAACATTTCTCGTATAGTATTATAATATAATATAATTATGAAAATAAATATAAAAATATATTTCTAATTCTTTGTTTAGTTTATTTGATAACAAGAACATAGTGAGTTAAATGATAGGATTTGTTAAATTGATGTATCTTAATTGTTTTATGCATATCCTGTATAACTACATAGAAAGTAAAGATTAATAAGAAAATATAACAATAGTGAAATGAAATATTAATAAATAAATAAGAAAATAAACTTGAATACAACATTTTCTACTCGTGGCAAAGGAAAAAAGTATTATTGTATTATAAACATATTAAACTTTATATTGAAATGAAATATTTGCAAGATCAATTGAAAATTTAAAAAGTAAATAAAGTATTAGCTTAAATTAACATCTAATTCTTAAAAGTTAATATTTTGTATTATAAAATTATATTGTGGTTTCTTAACGTTTTTTAGTTTATGTATAATTCACTATTAAGAATTTTTAAAAATATATTTTGTACAAATATATCCTAACCGTATCCATATTATATTTTTCATATTTTGCTATATTACCGTATTCGTATCGTATCATATTCATATCTCATATTCATATATATACTTGCTAGAGAAACATAATGTTAAATAACAGTGACATGGGCCCTGTTTGGTGCAGCTTAAAAGTTGCTTATTTCAGCTTTCAGCTTAATTTAAGCTATTTTGATGTGTTTGGTTTAGCTTATAACTTATAGCTTATAGCTGTTTGGAAGTCAGAAATCAGCTTATTCTTTGAGTGGGGCAGGAGATGCTTAATTTATAAGTCAGAAATCAGCTTATGTTCATAGTTATAAGCTATAAGCTGTTTAAGCATAAGCTATAAACACTTTCCCACAGTTCTACCAAACAGGGCCATGGTTATATATAGGCCAATTACAGAGAAAAGTTTGCCATATGTATTGACCAATACAATACTCCTTTTTATAAGACATACAAAATAAACAACTATCAGACCATCATTATCTCCCACCCTAACTATTCCATACACATGTGAAGGTTAATGACTGAAGAGAAAAAGAAAAAAAAAAATTGGCCAATGACCACGGTCCTGAGGATCTCCCTAATGGAGTCCCAAGCATGGCAAAATAAATAGTGTGAGAGACATTAAAGAATTTTCAAGTATTGGATTTGGACGGGCTACGAAATCCTTAATTTAATTCAATTGTTATATTAAATTGATTTCGAATAGAAAGGAAGGATAGTACTGCCTAAAAGGAAAGGGAAGAGACTGAGTTGTACTATAAGGAAAGAAAAATGACGCAGACCACTAATTAGTGGTTGCACTAGGGATGTGGCAGTGAGTCCCATCCACTGTCACATGTGTTTTGTGTCTTAGTTTTTTATTTTTTTTTGGCTTGCCACATCATTAGTGGTGATGTTAGTGGTGATGTTTTAGTGGTCTGTATCATTATTGATAAGGAAAAAGAAGCACCAAAAATAATAAGGGAGTAGCTTATCACCGGTCTTGGATTAGATTGGAAGGTATTGTTAGACTCGTGAAAATACATCACGAGTCTTATTTTGATAATTCGAATTATTCAATGTGTATAACTCCTTGAGTATTATACACCTGTAAAAATCACGTTGATCGGACATCGATAGCTATCTTATTGGATCAGTTTTCTGTCAACCGTTAATTTGTTTACATTCTATTTTTTTTTTTATATAAAATGATTTGATCACATAGCTTCCAATATCTGATCAACGTGATTTTTTAAAGGCATATAATTATCGACGAGTTCTACACATTGAATGATTTGGATTATAGAAACAAAACCTGTGATGGGCCTCTATAGGCCCAACAGCACCATCCAATCCAATAAGACGGAAGGAAAGCTGCTCCCAAAGAATAGGGAAGAATAAAATGAAAAATAGGCTCGGAACATTTTGAAAGAAACTAGTCAAAGAAAAAAGAAAATTGTGTCTAGGGATGGCAATTTGAAACCGGCCCAATGCAGACCCGACCCCTCGACCCCAAGTTGAGCGGGTTTTTCCTAAAAAATACCCTCGATGGGACGGGGATGATATTTAAAAATCAATCCCTGAACAGATTCGGGCCGGGGATGGGGATAAGTGTCCTAGCCCCGTACCTAGCCCGGCCCCGTCTCTGTTCCCCGGCCCGGTTTATCCCCGATGTTAAATTACTATTTTACCCTTATATACATATATATAAACCAAACCAGGTCTCACTTTCATTTCTCTCTACAACCGCGTCTCTCATCTCTCTCTACCTTACTCACTGACTTCTCTCTCTTTCTCTCTCAGATCCACCATCACCGCCGTCCAGCTCGCACCACCTCACCGATCAGATCTTTTTTTTTTTTTTCAGATCTGTCTTAGATCTGTTTTAGATCTGTCTCATTATACACAAATTTCAGATCTGTTTTCATTATTATACAGACCCCAAACAATTTCAGATCTGTTTTCAATTTAATCTGATTTACACATTTGTTGTTCTTGATGATGATGATGATGATGTTGTTGTTGTTGATGATGAATTATTGTATTTTTTGAAACTTTTTTTCTTTTTTTTTTTTGGCCGAGGAATGTTCGGGGTCGGGGAAACCTGATCCCCGTTAGAGGGCGGGGGTGGGGGCGGTGATAGGTTTCCCGTCGGGGATCGGGGCCAGGCCAGGGGAAATTCGACCATCGGGAATCGAGAACGGGGAGTGTGATCCCTGGCTCCGCCTCGTCTGGTTGCCATTCCTAATTGTGTCTAACTTCAGTTCACACCAAAAAAAAACAAAAAACAACGGGCCAAGCTTGTGAAACAAAGGATTAGCCGAATGAACCCTAGAGAACGGGGAGTGTGATCCCTGGCTCCGCCTCGCCTCATTGCCATTCCTAATTGTGTCTAACTTCAGTTCACACCAAAAAAAACAAAAAACAACGGGCCAAGCTTGTGAAACAAAGGATTAGCCGAATGAACCCTAACTTTGTTGCTAAACTTGTATGTAAAGAAGGATAAAGTGAGGTTCAACAAAATGCTAGTTGCCTTTATCATACTTAATAAAAAAATTGGTTCATATTGGTTGATATTATTTGATATCGATATGTATTCTGATACTCTTATTTAAAGCTATAGAGAAACCTTTGAGAGAGGCGGTGTTTGAAGGTGAAGCGGTAGATGGGATTGAATCTAACAGATTGAGTGATGAGCCAGTAGAGAGTGAACCAGAGCTCAGCCATGAATGAACCCATCCAAGCCCATCTTTGGAGTCTCCCTTGTGATGGAGATGGGAAATGAATGAGTCGGTAGACACATATCAAACATATTCCCATCATCACTGAAACAGCATACACCATGTAAGCCATGCGTCCCTTTGCTGCCTCTGTTTCAAAAAGTGGAAGATAACTCTCCTTTCCCATCTCTCTGCCTCTCTCTCTCTCTCTGTGTGTGTGAATGTGTGGAAGTGTGTGCTCTAGGGGTTGCAGGGGGGGGTAAGAGTGTATATAGAATAAGAGAAATAGCTGAGACCACTAAAAAGAAGAATATTACTAATAGTTTTAAAGTGGTGTGTGTCTTATACGATGAGATGTTTTGTTTTTGTGTTTTTGTGTTTTTTTTTAATTTTCACCTTGTTAGGGGTCTATTAATGTTCTCAAATTAGTGGGATGAATCATTGTTGCTATGAATAACAATAAAAATTTTTATAATTTTTTCATACAAAATTTAAGATTAGAAAGATGGATAGTAATATTTTTGAAAGTGTAATGATATACAAATAAAATATTTATATAATTTTTTTAGTATAAAATGATTTGAACATTTTAATCAATTGGACTAACTCTTGAATATTTTTGTATTCTTTCAACCGAGAGTTCAATGAGCTAATCTTTACCAAGGGCCTCATTATAGGGTCTTTGTTTGTGGTCTTTCTTGTATCTTGTAGTGATTACTGGTGTTCGGCAGCAAATATGTATTGTTAAATTTTCTTAAATAGGATTATTCAATTTGAAGTAATTGTCGTGATATTTGTATATAAAAAAATGTTTAAAATCTTTTAAAAAAAAAATTCCCATAATTTGACCGTATTGATGTGATATAATATGTCTAATAGTATTAACATCACCAAAATTATTAAAGTAATAGTTGTCTATTATGTTAATATGAGAAATTGACACTTTTATCAATATTTATTTATTCAGGTATATGTGGCCTTAAAATTACTATAGACATTTCAAACTTGAAGGATTAAAGAAGACAAGAACATCAATGTTTGTCCACTAGGATAGCGTCGTGAAAAGCAAGCTAATGGACTAGCACTACAAGGTTTGAGAAAGTTCATGTCTTATGGATTGCGTTGGATTCATATTCACCACAATAAATAAAAATTTTAAAAATTAAATATTTTGATTTCTAAAAGTAAAATATTTATTACAAAAGATATTTAGAAATTAATTTCTATCATCACATGAATAATTATTAAAAAGTCGTCTCGAAAAGTCAAAAATAAGATTTTTAGCTACAGTTTTGAAAATGTTACTAATAAATAGACTTTTAGGGACAAAATAATTTGATCTTAAAATGATTTATTTTTTGAGACAAAAAATTTGATCCCAAAACGATAATAATTCCTCACTAATGTCCAATTTTTGTTGCTAAAAATATAATACGACACTTTTCATAACAAGAACATTTAGTTCCTAAAAAATAATTTTATCCTTAAATTTTGGTCTCTAAAACTTTAATTTTTTGTAGTAATTGTTAGTTTGTTAATTTCTCGATAGCCAATGGTATGAGGAGAATCTCAAGGGAAGTGTTTGGAGAGTCGAAAGGAACGGGACCCAACTCTAGGAAAACTTGGTGGTGCAGGGAAGAGGTTCAAGTGATAGTTAAGGTAAAAAAAGAGTGCTTTAAAAAGTGGCAAAATGATAGAATTGAAGAAAACCTTAAAAGCTATAGATTGACTAATAAGGAAATCAAGAAAGTAATAAGAGAGGCTAAATTGAAAGCTTATGATGACCTATGCACTAGACTAGATAGTAAGGAGAAAAAGAAAAGGGTATACAAACTTGCTAAGATACGGAAGAGGAAAACAAGATATTTTAATCAAGTTAAGTGTATCAAGAGTGAGAATTCTAAGGTATTGGTGAGGGATGAAGAGATTAAGAAAAGATGGAAGATCTATTTTGAGAAATTATTAAATGAGGAACATTGAGGTACGACAATAGGAGAAGAAATAGCCAGTAATAGGATAAACCAAGACTATAGGTTCTGATGATATAGCGTGTTCCAAATGGAACAGGTCGGACTGATCCACGCTTCACGAACCGGTACCTGAGGTACCAAGCCTACAGTGGAACCTGCACAAGAGTTCAACGGGGAACTGGGAGTCCCCTAGCGAACTTTCCGACGAGCAAGTAAGAGAGAGAGATAGAATGTAGAGATAGAAAGCTTAACATTTTTCTTGTCTTCGACGTCTGCTTATATCCTCTGGTAATCATTTCGTTATCTCTTCCGACCTGTCATCTTGGCCGAAAGTCTATGCTCTAGCTTGCCATGTTCATGGTGAGGCCGTTCTGTCTCGACGGAGAGGGGTTATCGCAATAAATGTTGTAAGGGACTTCATTAATAGCTTATGCGCAGTGCAATAACTTTGCAAGATCTTTGTCTGCTTATGTGGCTTGTCCTTCACTTGTCACGTGTTTAGATGTCATTGGTTCTTAATGCCATGTTGAGTTTCAGCAACGTTGGGCTTTAGTATTTGAATTATGTGTTGGACCCTAAGTGATGGGCTATAACCTTTATGGGCTTACCTATGTCAGTAGTCCCCCATTCCCAAGTGCAACTTTCGTCCAACGAAGGGAATAATGAAGAAGACAATGGTTGTGAAAGGCCGGGGGGCGAAGACCGACCGACGATGGGTGGCCGAGCGAAGGGACTGACCCTAAGGAGGAGCGACCGCGAAGGGTGATCGAGTGGAGGGACCGACCCTGAGGAGGGGCGACCGCGAAGGGTGACCGAGTGGGGGTCCAACCATGAGGAGGGGCAACTGCGAAGGGTGACCGAGTAGAGGGACAAGTGGCGGTGCGCAGGGCTTGAGAAGTGGCAGGGGCATGTGGTGATTTGAAGTGGAAAAGATAGGGTAGGGGAAGGGGGCAGTGGATCGTGGTCGTACACGTGGCGGAATCCCGTAGTGGGGAAGGTTAGGCATTGAGCAAGAAATGAAGCGATAGGTCAATATAGGGTGTTGAAAAGACAGTTTGAGCGGATTTTTGAAAATTTTCAAACTGGCAAAATTTAATTGTGACCCTTGGAATACAGGCAAGCCTTGGACTTTTGGTATTATCCGCTCTATCTACCTTTTTGCGAAGAATCAAAACGTTCCAGAAATAAACTCTTTTGTTTCTAGTGACACCTCTGCAACATTTTATGAACTTTCTTGTGCCCGCGTCTGAAGCCATTCGCAGACACACAAGAGAAATGGCTCGAGAGGATGCGCCCACCGTAAGACGAGATGCGTTGGGGGACGATGACGCGGTGGACCTGGCGGAGCAATACAGGACGGAGAGGCGAGTAGGAAGCGAGGGGGAGCCGGTGGGGCGTCCTCGTTTGTCCACACTGATAGCGGTTGCGAAGCCAATCAGTCAGGTTGAGCCAGATAAGTCGACCGTTACCGCAGAGGAGTTGAAGGGTATGCGCGAGAAATATCAGATTCCCGCGGAAATAGAGTTGAAGCTACCGACATCGAAGGAAAGGCCATCCGATGCCCGACCAGGGGAGTTTGCCCTCTACGAGGAGGCGTTGAAGGGAGGGTTGAGGTTGCCGCTTCCGTAGGTGGTAGTGGACGTGCTAAACTGGTTGGAGGTGGCGTCGGGTTAATTAATGCCCAATGCGTGGAAGATTTTACTGGCCTGTGCAAGCGCGTGGCCGCGGGCAAGCGAGGGGGCGGTGATGACGGTGGATGAGTTTTTTGCATGTTACAAGGCTTCGGGTCAGCAAGAAACTTGGGTCACTTTGCAAGCGGCGGCAGGGAAGAGTCTGGTAGCGGGGTTGCCGTTGTCAATTAAGGGGTGGAGGCCGCGGTGGTTCTATGTGTCCGCAAACAGAAGAGTGGGAGTGCGCACGGTGTGGAGAGTGCCCACGAAGTCTGTGGAACCAAAATTGGGGGCAGCAGTGACGGAGAGGGTGAAGAAGGTGAAGGCATGGAGGGAGAAGGAGGGCGCCAAGTAAGACGACCTTGTACAGCCCTCAGCCGACCGGTGGAGATCTGGCATCGGCAGAACTAGAGGCGAGGAGGAAGGCGCAAGAGGCGGAAGATAGGGCAATTTTTTCCAAGGCCAATAAATTCAAAGAAGCACAGTTAGGCCGTCCCTCAAAACTGTTTGCGAGGGAATCCGACCACGCCCCAAGCCGCTGGGGGCAAAGGACTTAAGCGGTTTTGAGCCACGACCGCCCCTAATTGATCCGTTGAAGGAGAGAGGTGACAAAGAGGTGGAGGCTGTGTTAAAGAAGAAGAGGAAGAGAGTAAGGGAGAGTGAGGAGGGGCCAGCCTTGAAAAGGATGAAGGAGGTGATGGCAGAGGAGACCCCCGAAGTGGGATTAGAGGAAGCGGCGAAGGAGATGAAGAGTGGGGCGACTGGCCCTGAAAAACAAGTGGAAGGTGGGGCGACAGGCCCTGAGGAGGGGGCTGAGCAGCAGCCCAAGAGGGATCCTGTGCCCCAAGGAGGGGGAGAGAGGGTCAAGTTGAAGACTGCCATCTATCACGCTCCAGCAGTGTCTGGGTGACTGGAGGGAGAAAGAGGCTGTAACATGCACGGGGGGTACCCGCGGGCGTTAAACAGTTCGGACCCCCGAGATCTCTTTGATCTATTCTCACGAGTGCAATGTGAAACATAGATGAGAGTCCAGATTTGGCAAATTTTATTGAAAATCCATTTTATTGCAATTTTGTCAAAAATGGACTGCGTCATCAGATCTCAGAGTCGCCACCTAATATTTATTTTGGGAAAATTAGGAAACCCATGACTCGTGCCAAGGCCACTGTTCGTCGTAACCAAGGATGCTTGGCTCGGAACCTTAGGTATGAGAGGGGAAGGTCAATAATGAGCACCCCCGCCCACCCGATCAAAGATCGGCCTTTACTAACCATGATATGAATTTTATTTTATTTATATGTTCATGTTCTGATTAGTTAATAAATCCTAAAATTTACTATGTGAAGCATACAAGTATAGACTATGTCACCCATTAGGGGCATTTGAGATTTCATGTAGTTTTGAAAGAGTTTTGAAAATGTATAACCCAAATAAATTGAGTTTAATAAACACAGACATAATCTTATTCGTTCCTTTCAATTCATTTGTTCATATGTACATTCAGTTTTCATATTCAGTTGCATTACCATACACTCACACATGCAGATGGAATGCCCCTAACTCTTACTAGGACATCCTTAGCTCATACGGACTTGTGTGTGCGATAGAACACGTGCTCTGATACCACTCTGTCATGAC